CTTTTACATCCGCCCCGCAGACATGGCCGGCTCCGACGACGAAGGCAGCTCGCCCCCGCCCCACCTGACGCAGACGGGTTCCACAATCAAAACCTCAGCGAAAGGCTCCAGCTCCAAGGCTTCTAGTAGTAAGAAGGCCACCGGCAAGGGCCGGGCCAAGGCGACAAGCTCGACTGTCGTCACCCCACATTCGCTCCGTGTCCAGCGCCAGCCTTTCCATTATTAAACTCAGAGGACGCTGTAACAAGCCGACGATCAGACTTACTCTCATCTTTAACACGGTCGAAGCCAAGGACCATCTATCCTGCGATTTGTGCAACTTAAAAGGTCCATGGTTTCCGTCATCGATAGGCCTGACGCTTTCGGCGGCCCTTATATGCCCGCAAACTCCGTCGCTCCGTACAAGGTGTGGACCGTGGAGACCGACCTCGTCGGCCCTGAGGCCGACCACTACCTCCGCAGCGCTCGATTTTAGCATCCCATGATAAGACACGGCGGTACGACGAGGGGTCCGTCCGGTGACGTCGGCCATCAGCACGCCGGCGCGCTGCGCAGAATGGTCCTGACGTCTACCTTCAATGGGTCGGACTCGGCCTACAACCAAGGAGGTCGTCGTCCGTATTCTAACGGTCGACTTTACGTACACGCAGGTCCTGCAGGCAAGGGCGACGAAGAAGGCCATTTCTTAGTTAGCCTCTTAGGCCGAGGGATCAGAGGCGTTGGAGGTGGCTGATTTGGAGGACGGCAAAGGCATAGCTACCCAGCAACGCTATACCGACTACTACATGCGCCTTTACGGCTTCCGTTCCCCCAGGCACGAGTGGCTGGATCACCTCAACTTGGCTGCAAAAAGCGTGATATAGGCTTGAGCTGCAGAATCAGCTTGAAGCCGCCAACGAGTTTGTAGGGTATGACGAGCTGGCAATTTTGGTGTTAAGAGTATCTAACACCTCCCCGCTGCCGCCGCCAAGTTCGCCAGTCTTCAATCTCTTCTCGTAGAAACCCATATAAACCCGTCCACTCTTCTACGGCCCTCTTCATCTTTACATCCACCGACTCCACTCACTCTGTTATTCGAATCCAACTTCCACTCTCCTCTCGAGTTGAAGCTTCAAATAACAAAATCTCGATCCAAAACCACCTCCCGCTCCACAGCCGTAACAACAAACGCCCAACGACAACCCCCAACCACAACCCCCAACCACAACCTCCAACCACAACCCCTACTTTTTTCAACATGCAAACCGAACTCCTCGCCTCGATCATTGCCGGCACGGTCATCTTTGGCCTCATGCTGGTCTCACTCTTTGGCTACTGCTTGTTCCGAGCCTTCAAGGAGGCAAGCAGCATGGACGACATCACGGGACTGTCGAGAAACTACCACAGTCACCCGAGCAGCATCGAGCTCGCGGAGATGGGCCGCCGCTCAGCCGGCCGTTCGCAGTCCAGCTTCCAGACCCAGACGTCCAGGTCGACAACCAGAACGAACCGTGGCACCCACAGCAACCGCCGTGGTCTTCACTTCCGCTCGAATAGCTGGTCAAGCATGGCGCCATCCAGCAGCAGCCGTCGACCTCTCCGTCGCCAGAGGTCCGACCAGTCGATTGAGGCCGGGAACCTCCCTGACTTTCTGTTGACCCGCAAGGAAAGAAAGGCACTGGGAAGGCGTCGCAGCCGGTCCGCTTCGGAGATTCCTCCGCTGCCGTGGTGAGCGACAGCCAACAACCTGGACTCGCCGGCTCCGATGATGAGGCAGGACGGACACGGAATGATGATGGGGTATCTGGGATGGGTGCGGGGAGTGATCTGGTACTGATGGGTGTTGGCAATGGGTCTTCTTTCGGTTAGGCTGCGTGACAATTGGCAGCTTATAGATAGTCTTCTTACTGTATATGAGTGTTTAATGGAGTAACTTGATGACTCAGTCATGGGTAGCTACTGGCGAACTGCGTGAGAATTGGATGCTGGTTGCGAACATGCACGGGTGAGGAGGCTTTAATTTAGAGATAACCATAAATGAAAGCTTGAGTTTATGGCGGCAATCTTGTCTTGTTCAACGAGTGGCTGGTGGTAAATTCCGTATTGGAAGTAGAGCGGCCACTCGCGCGTCTGGATAGAGCCCGCAAGCACGAGATTATCGCTAAGTACAGTTCCGCCACGCGCGCGCCGTTGCAGGACCTTGAATACGGATAGGCTTATAGGCAAAAAATCCTAAGCCTGCTGTGCGAGCGCGAGTGATAGGATCCCAGGTCCAAAGTGACCACGTGCTCTGCGGAAGGCAAAGAAGACAGAGACGAAGCCCGCCCGAGCAGCTGCTGGGGCGATATGGCATAGGAGAAGCGCATACTTATAAGATCATGATTCAGCCGGAAGAGAAATTGCCCTGCTTGACGTTGTTGCCTCGTGCGGGCGAGGTGGTGTAGACCCTCCCAGCGCCCGCGCGCGGCGGCAGCGCGCCCATAAACACCACTCAAAACTTGCTCCGCGCTCTTCTTCCTTCTCTCTCCACCCACACCTGCTACAACATCTCACCCGCGCACCGCCAGCTCCACTCCCGCAACGCACTACGCACCTCAAACGCGTAATCCAGCACTCGCGCTCTCATAAGCTCCAAGCCAAGTATAGTATGCTAAACTCCTCCCTCACTCCCTCCACCTCCTCATGTTACGCCCGCATCCTCACCGACACAACGCTAACCCGCACCGCATCACAGAGCTCAAGACGCATCCGCTCTCCTCCTATACCGCTCTCCCTTCAGACCAAACCAGCCAGAACACCCGCCAGCGCAACACCAAACTCGCGAAAATGAAGGGTAATATGGTTATCTTTCTGGCACTCGTCGGCAGCATAGTTGCCGCTATCGCTGCCTGGTATGGCCTCAAGGCCTACATCATGCGCGCTGGAGCCTACGATCGCCGTCACCCCACACAGCGTGCCTTCGTACGCGCCCGCCGCGGCCGCCGCCGCTACTTTATCTTTGGCGAACGCCTCCCACCCAAGCCGAGCCTCCGCATGCGCGCCTTGCAGCAGCGTGACGAAGAGAGAGCACTCGAGGACAATATATCCATCAACGCGAGCGCCGGATCCGACGGCGAGGACGAGCGCGGCATAGCCAAGTCCTACAACATCTCTGCCATCGACGGCTCTGCCTCTCTTGCTACCACCACCGCTGGCGCTCCCGCTTCTGCCACTTCCACCGCCGCTCACTCCGCCAAACGCGGTGCCAGCAGCCGCGCCGAGCGCTACGCCCGCTCCGTCCGCTCCGGAAAATCCAACGCCACCACGGGCGCCACGTCGTCTGCCACCGGCCTCTCAGGACAGCAGCAGTCCAACACCACCAGCGCCGCTGCAGCCTCCACCACGGCCAACACTGCCCGCACGACCACCAGCGCCGCCGCTGCCAACGATGACGACGCCGACAGTATCATCCCCGCCACCACCGCCGTCATCGACCACGCCCTGCCCAACGGCCGCAACGCCGTCCGCCGCCCCCCGGGCGCGCGCGTCGTCCACGGCCCGCGCGGCACCGGCCTGCGCTTCAAGATCGCCAGGCCCAAGATGCCGTTGTCGAACGGCGGCGGTGCTGGCAGCAACAACGCTGCTGCTGCCGCCACGGCCGTCAAGAGCGCTGACATGGGCGCTGCTCCCGCTGGCGACGCCGAGGACGCCGCTCCGGCTGCCGCTGCGGAGACTGCTGCTGCTACTGCGGGTGAGGCTGCTGCTCCCGCTAATGCTGCTGCGGCTGAGGGTGCTGCTGATGCTCCTGCTGGGGTCACGGAGCTGGCTGCTGACGGCTCTGTCTGCGCTGCTGCTGCTCCGGCCATCAACGGCGGCGCTGGCAATGGCAATGGCAACGGCATCAACGCCAACGCCAACTCCAACGGCATCAACAACGCCAACGGCAGTAACGAGGCCCACGTCCCCGCCTCCTTCACCTACCCCGCCAACGGCAACATCACCAACACCGGCACTGGCGCTGGCACCGGCTACGGCGCCCCCGCGGACATCACCGTTGCGCCCTTCCCCGGCGACGACGTCTTCAAGCTCGACAACGAAGCGCCCGCCAATTCCTTTCTTGCGCACGCTGTGGGAACTGGCGCCGGCGCCGGCGAGAAGCAGCAGCAGGGCGGCCAAGGCCAAGGCAAGTAAGTAGGGCCTGTTGATGTTGTTGTGCGTTCCAATGGGTCGGCCCGTCGGGGCCTCGCGCGCGAGAATGGGATGGATGGTTGAGACCGGGGATGGGAAAGGGGGCCTCTGCGCCATCGGTTTGCTTCCTTGCTTGCTTGCTGAAGAATGGCTGTTACGATGAGTCATCTGCTCGAGGATTCATTACATGGGTTCTTTGCTTTTCCCTTTTTTTTTCTTTTTTTTTTCTTTGCTTCTTTCCTACAGGTTGCGGGCTCCACAATATTCACGGAAACATGCAAGGAGTGCCAGATGCGAGCTCGGTTTGCTTTAGCGGATGCAGATGACAGTGGGCGGATGATTTGCTTTTTTGGCTATGGATGGTCGCGAGATGGCTCAGTTGCTTTCACAGATACGGATGATTGTTGGGGATTTGAGATCATCACTGGCCATCACAAACAGTCACGGATACAGACAGAGTATCTTAAGAATGACCCATCCATTTTGATTTGCTTTTTTGTGAGCCAGCAAGAGAGAGCAACCTATTCGCATACATGTGTGACGTGAAAGCAACGCAAATCCCTGCCTGTACTTGTTCATGTTGCCCTTCCGTAAGTTCATGCCTTCGATTGTGACCGCACCAGCATTATGTGAACCGCATTTGCAATCGCAAAGTATACTCCTTCTTGAGATGTGCGGTATGCTTTTTATGAGTCGTCCATTACTGAGCCACTGAAGAGCTGGGGAGGGTAGATGATATCGTTGGCAAAGTCTTGTCCTACCCCCAGCGTCAGCAGACCGTTCCATGTAAGCAATTTAGAGGGACTGACCGTGTAAGCGATGGTACTTACGCAATCCTTCTTGACTCATATGCAGTTGTAGTGCTCGTTTGTCATGTTGTCCGTAAACTTCCACTTTGTCCTGCCTCACGACTTGGCATTGGGGATCAGGGTCGACAGTGTCAGAAGAACTGAGCTGGAGCTGTCGGGCTGGGGCCCGAAGACAGCGACATCAGGAGTGAAGCACTGCTCGACATCAGCCTCATTGTGGATTCGATTCAGGGACGGAGCGAGCTCACCATTCGGAACCATTGTCCTCTTCGTCTTCTTCGGCGACCTTGGGCTTCTTGCTCGGGGTGAGTAAGGGCTCGGAAGAGGAGCTCGGTTGGCTACGTTGGGGCCAGACAGTCTGTCTGGGGGGCTCCAACACACGTTGAGGAGTCGAAGGACCCAAATCTTGCGAGAGACGGCGAACGTGGGCAAACCAACCTCCATAGCGCGAAGGGCCGTGATGAGGGTTTGTATAGTACCTCGCCTTCGGAGTTGAGGGCTCGGCCTTTGGCTCGTCATCCGTTGGTGGCGTCAGGCGCTTAAGCCCAGGCTGACCAGCAGCCTCGGGAGCTTTCCCGGACGGCTGAGCATGATACTCACTAGACATCGGCACAGGAGCCGAGGAGACGTATGAGCCACCACCGCTGGTAAGCTGACCGCTCGCAGCCGGCCTCGCGAAGTAGGAGCTGCCGATGTTGGGAGCAACAGGCGGGCTGCTGGGGATGTATGGGCTGCCTGGGTGGGTCATGCCCTGGGCGTCTTGAGAAGCTGACGGAAGGAACGAGATTGGCGTGAAGATGCCGCCCTGCCTCTTGCGCTGGCGATCCATAGCCGCTGCGATTTCAGGCGGAGGGTTGTTGTATGAGTCGTCCCGAGACAACTTCTGAAGCGTGGCAGCAGCAGCCTCGGCCTGCAACTGCTCGTGCTTCTCCATCATATCGGCTTGAGCCGATTTCTGATCCTCACCGACGCCGTACTGTATGCCATGTCAGTAAAAGGGGTTGAGGAAGGCCAGGAGGCAGGGAAAACTCAGTCGGGTCAGACTTACCATTGCGCCCAAGTTCGTGGCGAAGAGGTGAACTCCTCTCCTATTAGCCCTGGTGCCAGAAGCTGGACCAGAACTCCAATCTGAGGAATTCTGTGGCGGAGGCATTGCAGCTTGCTGAGACTCCAAGGCCGTGACCGGGACACCGGTGCGAGCAGCATCGGCAGCGGTATTGAGAGCCTGCTGTTGTATGCGGGCCTTGGCCTGCTCGAGCTGCTGTTTCCGAGCGTTGATGGCAGCCCAAGGGGCGCCACGCTTGCCCTTCTTCGGTGGCATGATGGAGATCCGAATGGCCTGTGAGGTGACGTGAAGCGGAGATGACGGGTCGCAGTCGCAGCCCCCAGTGAACAATACCTGGCTCCCTTGTCAGCGCCAAAGTCGAGGCAGACGATAGAGTGAGAACAGAAGAAGGGCTGCTCAGGTTCAAAACCAAGTGAGGTGGAAGAACACTCGTGCAGGTAAATGGGGGGAGAGATAGGTACGCTGGATGAACTCACACTTGAGCGTGTTCGGGGAAGCCTTGCCCGAGAGGTGGATGATCTTGCTTGCTAGATGAAGGCTGAACGAAGAGGTGAAGGTCTTAGTTCGTTCTAGGTGTTAGGAATTCGGCGACTTGTCGTGTGGGCGCTGACGCAACGGTTGACGGAAGGGGGAGTTGCGCACACTGGGAAGGCACAACGCAGTATGCGCCACCGGTCAGACGGTGTGCACATTCCGTGGGCAAGCGCGGCTGAGTGTTAGTGGGCTCTCGCCTTGTAGTGGCGAGTTCTTGCAGTTCGAGTCGGACTGGGGGTTTGAAGAAGATGCAGTGAATAGTGAAGCCTAAAGCTCACTGACGCCAGCGAGAGGCCACCATGAAAAGGCAGAGATTAGGCTCCCTGGACTCGCTGAGAAATTCTAGATCTGGGCCTCTGACACAAATCGCTTCTGTGGTAGAAGTCACAGTGCGCCGCTTCGAACTGCACTTAGCTTCTCACCATGCATAGGCATGTTAGGCGTGTCCGTAGAGTCATCGAACAAGGCCTTAAAAACGAGTGTCCAACCAAAGGCATGCCATTTGTGGAGGTGACTGCGTCGGGAAGCAGGATGTTAGACTCGCGTGAGCCCGCGTGAGTGGCCATTTACAGCGCACAGTTAATGCGCAAGTCTGAAAATGGAAGATGCATCCCGGCTTCTCTGATACGAATAAGGATGATCACTGAGCACTCTTAGCGTTGTGGGAGAGCGATGCGTCTGCTGTCAGCGCTGCCACTGGCTGAGGTTCTGTTCGGCTTCGCCTGCGGGTTTACCTCTACCACACAACTGCCGCAGCCCGAACCGCCAGCCTTTGACATCAATACCCAGGGCAGATCCAGCGCATCAACTCATCGTCGTCTCTGCCAGAGCCCCGCCGCCAGCCATCCAAGCCTCGTCGCTGCCCTCCACCGTTCGAGTCTGCCCTGGCCCGATCGACCGAACGCGTCAGACCGCCACAGCAGAAGGTGCTTCACGCTGCAGAGAATACAAACGAAGGGCTGGCTCAAGAGCTGTGGCAGCGGGATGCTGAGTCGTTTCTGGAGGAGGGACTGCAGCTGACCTCTTTGTTGCCTCCGTGGTGTGCTGATGAGCCACTTGCGCAAGGACAGGGACAGCAACATCGGTACAGTTCTGCGGAGCGCATACGTGGCACTGAGTGGTGATATGATCGTACGCGGGCGGTGATTACGAGCTCATAGACGCGGAGACATGAGGGTCAGTGGTAGCGGATGCTGCTGTTATGACAGCGGACGTGTCGCACGCCCGGTCTGGGGCCACAGCCAGAGGCAAGTATCCTGTCGCATGATCTTCGCTCGAGGACTGATCTGATAAACGAAAGCAGCGCGGTGGCGATAAAGGCCTTACGGTGGCGATAAAGGCCTTACGGTGGCGATGAAGGCCTCACGGCGGCCATGGAGCCTTACGATGACAGGACCCGCTGTCCACCAATGCCGGACACCGCGCGCCAGCTCGCAAGCAGAATACAGAAGCCTCAACTCTTCCTCAAGATACAGTGCGATTCGGGCTTGTCATCGCAGACAATGGGAAAGGCGCTCTCTTGAGGTCGTGACTGTCAGGGGAGAAGAAGAACAGGAACAAGAAGATGGAACACAACGAGCCGAATATCTTCGACAGGGAGCCCGGTGGAATGATCGATCGGGTAGCATGGGGACAGTTGCATCTACATATCAACTGGCCACGCTAGACCAGGTTGGGAGGGATGTTGATCGCGGCGGACGAGCGAGATTTAAAAACCCTCCCGTCCCTACATGACCTTCTCTTCTTTTCTTCTTCGAGCGCGCTCTTGCAAAGTAGCGTGCCGTGCTTCTCCGTATCTACCGCTGCTCATAGCAGTGGTAATTTTTGGAAACTCACGCCCGAACTGGGCTGCTCCGCTTTTCGTCGAGATGATGGGACGCGCCTTGAGCGGGCTCTCGAGGAAGATCTGGAGCGGTTGTGCGGCTGCTGTCGGCGCATGGCCGCGGTACTCAAGGAGGACAGAACACAGGTCGATGAATGTGCCTGCCCGTAGGTGGGTGCAGTTCTCGTGCACTGCTCCGCTCGGCCTAGGTCTTGACAAGCGATATGTCCTGCAACGACCTCTGCCATGTTTAGACAGTACATCCCAATCGCCCACAGATTTTATTTCACCGGGTCCATTGTGTTGATGTCCACATCCAAGCACGTCATGGCGTTGAGCAGTATGGGAGTGTTGGCGCAGTTGTGATGTTTGCGGTTGCACTCGAACAGCTGGCCGTTGCGCGCGTCGACGTTCCTCCCGTCAACACCTACAACACCACGGTGAGCCAACCCCTGACGCCAGACACTGCGCCACTCTGCTGCGGCGTGATACGAAAGCGATCGGTTGTCGCATGGTCGGAACTCTGACATTCATCCGCTGATCGGACCAGACGCATTCCAGTCTGCCGCCGTCGTTCCTCATCCATCGAATGATACGTACCCTCCTTCCATGAAAACACCCTCTCCGTCGGCACTAACTCCCCAAGCAAGCCGCGTCCCTGCCCCAGACATGCGTTCATAGGCCCGACATGGCTGCTGGCCACAGCCTGCAGCTCATCGTCCACCGCGACGTACCGTCTGCCGCCTGCCACCTGCCGCCTACCGCCTACCACCCGCAGATTCTCCTCGTCACGCACATCCACACCATCTAGAACATACAAGTGCGCACAGGAGCTCTATTTTCCTGTCAGCATTGCCATACAACTCATACTCGAGAGCGCAAGCAGCGAGGGTGTCGCAACCAAGGGCATCTGACCACGGTGCAGTCAGCCAGCGTTGCTGCCCAGTCGTCACATGTGAGCGCTACTCGACGAAACCTCGCACCGCGACGGCATGGGTAAAGTCTGTACTCTCGTCGCTGTGGCCTGACGGGCGTCGGCAAGAGCACCTTCCAATGCACCCTGATCCAGCATCTGTGCAACTAAAGCACTGGTTCGCCTACAACAACCTCGACTTCGTCGCCGACGACTTTACATACGGCGCTGTTTTCTTGCGTCTGCATCTTTGCTACAAGCGTCAAGCTCAGCAGGGTGGCTCAGGGAAGAGGTGTGGAGAAGCTGGCGCCCGTCTCGAGTACATCCGCGTCGTGCAACGCCCGCTGCCGCCTATTACTATTCAAGAGAGAAAGCATGCAGCGCACAGCTGTTAAGAAAACTCGCGCCTGAAGACACCAGAAGGCTCCGTCGCAGCTTCAGCATGCAAACCTCTAGGGCCAGAGAGGGCTTTTATGACGGCTGCGGCACCAGACTGTTTTGCCGGCGCAGCGTGGCCTGCAATGTCATTTGCAACACCATGGTTGCAGCTTGACTCAGTAATAACTCTATCTGCGAAGCGGCAGGCGCCTTTTCTACGTCCTTTGTCTGCCGACGGCTCCACCCCACACCCGCAATCTCTCGAGAACGTCGATCATCACGCGCATCCGGCTCCACAATGCACCACGGAACAATATATAAAAAAAGCTGGAGGACACAGAAGCGGGCGGCCCGGAACGGAGGCAGAGAACGGGCGACGGGACAAGCGACCGGCTGTACCGGGGGCCAAGACGATCCTTCGCTATCTATTTGTGCCGAACTGGCACGCTAGCTGACAAGGCTCTCGTAGTTTCCTGCCCGAAGCAGTTAAACCGTCCAATCTTGTCGTTTAGCCTGCGCCAGCAGTCGGTCCGTCCGTCCCTCAGCCTTACGAGCCCGACAAGAGGAGCTTGTTTCCACACGCGACCAAGGCGTTCCGTCCATGGTGCTTGACACAGAGCTATATTCGAAACGAGCTCGTCGAATCATGAATACGGACACGGGAAGACGAAGGTTTCGGCCTTCTCCTGGCTGGGCGGCACTGGAGATAGCGGCATGCGCTTTGCTTGGCAGCGCGCGAGGCTGGATCAAGGTGTCGGTGGAAATGAATACGAAGATACGGGCTCACCCGAAAACGGCGCCAAGCGAATCACGGCCGGGGATGCGCTAAAACGCCCAAGACAAGCGAGTCGTTGTTTCTTGCTTTTTCACGACTTGTCAGAGATAAGAAAACCGGGGTGTGGGTAAATTTGGGCGTTGGCGTGACTGGTGCTTTAAAGCCTTGCCCTCGCCCGAGTCGTCCGCCGTTCGTACCAAGAACTCCCTTCCCCGTCTTGCGTCCCGCTGCCTGCAACAGCTTATCTTTGCTGCCACTCTTTTTGAGAAGCCATCAATCACACTCGCTGTAAGTAAGATGAAAGCCCTTTCGGCATGCGGACACAGTGCTGACGTCCGAAACCCAGACCACACAACCCTCTCTACCAAAACAACCCCCTCGCCTTAGCCGCATCATCATTTTCCTCCTCTACGAACCGTGTCAATCAACAACATCAACCACAATGGAACTCTCCGGCAACGAAATCTTCATCGCTCTCTTCCTTGGCTTCGTCGGCATCCTCGTCCTCGCCATGATCCTTATCTACTTCCGCAAGAAGCACCTGAAGAAGGTCAACGAGCAGCTGCGCGCAAAGAGGGCCGCCATGGAGGAGGCATGAACATGAACCCTGAAAGTATGGGCTTCTCCAACCTTCTCACAACGTGGAAACGGGGCTCGGAAACCTTTGAACAAACAACACGACTGCGCGCATGAAGCGCTATTCACTCTGGACACGTTGGAGACTCCAACACAGCTTGTAGCTCGGACGATGCACTCAAGTTTTGCATCACCGCGTCCGTGTTCGCAACGATTTGCGCCTGCATTGTTGCAGAAACTTGGGGTCTGCAGATTACCCGCAGGCATGAGGCTTGGCTGGATGGACTGCACGTAATGACAAAGGATTGGAGGATTTTGTTTTGAACTGTTAAGATACCTTAAACCGCCAAGTTTGGCTCACACAATGAACACTGTCTAACGACAACTTCTTTTTTCCTTTCTTCCGCTTTACTCACTATCTCGAAAGGTCTCATGTCTCTGACTGGCAACACATGCTGTCTGCATGACGAAGCCTTGACGTACACCGTCCTCATCTGCAAGCGCCGCTTACTCCGCGCACACAGATGACCTCAGGCTCAAGGAGCCTGCTGCAGGAGTTTAGAATGCCGCGCCTCAGCTGAAGCAGCCGATCACCGAGGACCCGAACAAGGTCGAGCACACCACGCTACGTCGACCAACCGCGGCCTCCGCACTCTTCCAACCTGGATGCAAAACCCCGCTCGCCGGACTCGAAACCACACGCAGCAGCAACGCCATATGCACCCGCCCTTCCGCCGCCGCCTCCAGCACCCTCTCTCGTCTGCACCGCATTCCCAACCTACCTCAACGCCTCTCCCCCCCCCCCCCTCCCCAGAACACCCGACCATCCCACCGCACAGTCCCGAGCGCAGACCAACAGCAGCGTGCAGCAGCCGCCCATCCCTCAAACGTAGATCCGGTCCAGACGCGTCCGCCGCGCCAGTGCCTTCGCATCCATCCACCCGCCCCTTCCGGCCCGCTATGACCTTCAACTGACACAACCGATGGAGTCCGACGCTCTCGATGGCCATGGCGAACGCGAATACGAAGGAAAGGAAAACCGGGGCTGGTGTACCCGCAGGCAGGAGGGCGCTGCATTGACGCGGGGGTGTTGCGGTGCCGTGCTCGGGTAGGGACGTCAGTTGGACTGGGACGGGGGGTGTTGAGGGGCGAGTGGTTGTGATGCTGTCGTTTTGTTTGCGCAGGACCGCGGGGGTGGTGGGCGGGGTGGTGGTGTGGGTAGGGGAGGGGGGCGGTTTGTGTGGTCTCGCGCGTTTGAGGTGCTGTTGATGTGCGAGAGGAGCGGGTAGTGAGTGGGTTGGCGGCAAGGCGGTGCGCGGCGGTAATGTTGGGTGCGTGGGAGGATGTCTGGAGCAGGGGCTGGCGTTTGCTGAATCGAGGTTTCGCGATAGAAGGATCGGTTTGCGGGGCAAAACAGCTTGGTCTGAGGACCAGGAAGATTGGCGTCAGGACTGTTTTCCTACGTTGCGGAACCATGGCGTGGATTTTCTTTGATCACTACGATAGGCATACCGGTGTGCGTCTTCGACAGCGTCCTGTGCATGAACTCGCACATAGTACATACAAACAGCAGTCGAAAGCATGCAAAACATCTTCAAGGGTAGAATCAAAGACACAGATTATGTCACCACATACGTAGCCGGAAGCGCCAGGTCAAAGAAAAAAGAATCCAAGCGCACTTAATTCAACTACTTGATGCGGTATCTCTCTCGTTCAGACCAAGCTTTCCTCTCCCCTTTGTATTTCCGCGTTCTCAAAAAGAGTCCCTCCAAGTATGATATGACCGGCACCGTAGCGAGAATTCCGGTGGAATTGAGACGGGCGACGGATGGACGGGGACGGATGGGGACGGACACAGCAGCGGTCGAGGATGCGCCTTCACACGGCGTCTGCGTTTGTAGAGTCAAGTTAGCTATTGCTTGCGCAAACTCTGTGTGTGTGTGTGAGGAAAGACGGTAAGAATGAGACTCTCAGGTAGCTCGATGTATCAAGGCGCAAACCCGGGCGACCCTCAGCACGAATGCAGTTGGGAGCGGTTCGCTCAAAGTGAAGTGGGGGGACCTTTGATTTTGAACGATCCCTCATCATTTGAGTTAAGATATGTGTGTGTGTGCAACACAGCAGGAGGAACAAGGCGAAGGGAGAAAAACTGACCGTGTTTCAGAGATTGAGAGGCGTCAACGGCAAGAACCGACGGCGGGAGGAAATCTGCGTTCATGTCAGTGAGCTGCTCGCGGAGTGCGATGTTGGGAAGCAAACTCGACATACCAAAATTGAAAAAAAAAAAAAAACATCCGCGATTGCGGATCACCTCCATAAGGTCGCAGAGGGTGATGCGTCTCGCAGCAGCCAAGCTCATGGGTCAGAGCTCACCGCAACACCTATGACCAACTCAAGAGTTAGTTAACGTTCTGGTAGAAAGTGCGGTAATGTGATTAAGGGAAGATGAATCCTCTCAGAGCTCTGTCTCGTCAACGACAACCAGATCGACCTCCCTCCAACCTGACGGGCTCAAGGCCAGGACCAAGTCGAAGAGAGGCTCGGCTGTCTTAGAATGCAGTAGTTATTCATCATTGAGGGCATGGTATGCGAAAGAAGAAAGTAGGATGACTGACCACGTTTAAGGATTGAAGCATTCTATGCGATATTCATGGAGACAGAAGATCTGTACAAGAGGAGGCAAAGTGATGTCAGCGCAGTGCACGATTGAAGAGGAAAGTGACAGAAGTCATGGGAGTGAGGCGGTGCATCGGACACTTACTGATTGAAGAGGCGCGCCTAGAAGAAATGCGCGACACTGAAGCGCAAAGAAACTAAAGTGAGCTATAACAGAGCATACATGTAAGGGAGCAGCGAGGATTAATCGTGGTGACGTTGAGAAGTTGGGGGAAGAGGCGGCGCAGATTGGAAGAAGATGAAGAAGAAAGAGAGAAGCTGGCGCGGTGAGGTCCTTAAATGGAGCCCTGTCGCAGTGCTGTCTGCTTGTGCACGTGCGCGCGTGCGGACGGTTGCTAGGGACCTACCATAAGCAGTGTGTACGTGGTGATTGCTTGGGCGGCCGCACGCTCTGAGCAGTTCTGCGACTTTCTGCGAACCGCCCGTTGAGGCAAGGACAGTAGCCCAACCAATCACCCATGGCTCCACACGGGTGAGTTTACGGCTGCAACGGACTGTGCGGCAGCTGGCTCGCCGAGGAGGAACCCATTGCCAAGTGATATTGGCAGATCTTTCGCGAACACTCCCTTTGCGCAACCAGCTGCGGTCACCCACGGAAGTACGTAAGAGAGTCGGCGAAATTTTCTTTCACGTTCTGGTACACATTACAGCGGCAGCTGCTGTCCGCAATCTCAAGCTACGTCACTGAGCTTCTGGTATGAGGTGAGTCACGAATTTGCGCGTCCTTGTCTGCGGTGGATATACACTCAGCATAGCAACAGTGCGCAACAAAGTGCATTCTTGGCCACCCATTGTCAATTTTGATTTCTTATGCTACTATCTGTGCGGGTCTTGCCCGTGATGAAGCCTCCACTAGACTCTGTCTGTTCTGTTATCTGAAATCCCCGGATCCCCCGCATGTCCAAGTCGTCATGCATGTCCCCCATTCGCCCAACCCATGCGGTCTGGTATCCTGCCCATCCATCCGACCCGGCCAAGCGTCCGCACAGACCAAGGGCACCGCCGCTCGTTGCTCAGAACTCCCGCGGCTCCCATACCTCCTTCCGGCCCTTGTCCTCGGCATCGCCAAACCACAGCTCGAAGTCGCCAGTGCGGCATGTCCATTCGTCTCCCGTCTCATCAATAACATCAGACCCATCAGAGAAGTCACCTGGATCTGCATGGCGCACGAATACGCGATCAGCAAACTTCGGCATGGGGCAGGGAAGCGCGTCGAGGCCTTCAACTTTGCTATAAGTGAACTGGAGGAAGAAGGTCTCAAGGCGCATAGTGGCCATCATCATCATCGGGTCGATGAATTCCCTAATGGGTACGGGGCTTTCGTCGGTGTCGGTGCAGAACTGTAGGGCGAGGTGACGGAGAGTGCGGGCGAAGTGGCAGACCAGCGACGAGATGTTGGGGTCGATCCAAAGGTCATACATGCACACTGAGAGCTGGAGGCGCGTAAGGGTATGGATGAACGGATTGATGCCGGGCTGTTGCCGCATTGCGTGCTCCAAGACGACGTGGGGCTGGGCATCGCTATCAGCGTAGATCGTGTCGATGCAGAGGTTGTCGACATTGGGGAAGATGGCGAAGACGGAGTGGATGGCCTTGCTGCTGTTGTGGAATATGTCCTTGCCCTCTTGGGCGGAGAGACTGATTTCCAAGGTTCTGACGCTGGGAAGATGGCCGTCAAGGTGGCAGAAGCTATCAAGGTTGTTGGCGGTAAGCGGCAGGTCCGCCAGATCGACGCGCTGCACCTTGCTCTCTGCGGACAAGAGAGCTCGGAGGCCAGTGCAGGTGGCGTCAACGTCCAGAATTCCCTTGACATCCAGTGGGTGAGCCTCTAAGCTCTTGATCTCGGCTTGCCACATGTCGGATCCGAAGATGTGCGCTGGCTGGTTCAAATCCTGATGATATAAAGTCACCCGCTTGAGCCTGTGCAAGCGGCTGAAGATGACGGCAAGCCTATTAGTGGCCTCGGGGTAATAGCCCCACTGCATATCGGCGGCATGGCGGTATTTGCGGACGTCCTCTACGAGGTCCAGCCCAAACGAGTTATCGTTGTCAAAGAGGCCGCGAATAGGAGCTTCTATGTTAATTGCGAGGCTGTAGAAGCGACTGCAGATGGCTTGGTTGCGCGTCATGAGTTCCAGCATGTTGAGGTCAGTTTGCGCCAGCATCATCTCCCTCAACTCTAGAACCCCCGGAATGAATCCGCTCGAGCAGCGCGCAAACGTGCGATTCACGGCGCGTAAATTCAAGACCGTCTCCACACTGTCGGGAGTGAGCATCGGGGGCAAGTCCAAGTATAGATTTGTCTCATATTCCAGCGAGCTCTCAATGATCATGACGATCAGCTCCTCCGGGATGCGGTCCATGGTGCAAAGGTTTGCAGCTGAGGTGGTGTTGGGCGAGGAGTCGTTCGCAGCTGAGGTGGTGTTGGGTGAGGAGTCGGTCGCAGGATGTCGCACGGTCTATGCAGTAGATTAGAGCTGGTTGACGAGACTAATATACAGGGCATGGCTAGTTGTATGTATATAGACAATTATCAACAAGAGTGTTGTCCATGGAGCCAGACACTTGTCCTCGTACAATGTATGATGATACTCAATCCACGTCGCTGAACAACACGCCATCAACCGGTGTGGAGGGACTTGAGTCACAAAGACTTCATTCAGTACCAAGCTCATTCACTCCAGAGCCACGAGAAACTCGAGCCACGACGAACAAAGAATGACATGATTGCATTGTCCCCAATTCTTCAATACCCAAAGTCATAGGTTCTGGAAACCCGTCACAGCCTCTCTCGTATATCTCCATCTCCATCCTTCGTGCAGGTCCAGCGGGTTTAGTTTACGTCCCCATCCTCAATAGCACTGGCCCAACAAAAGCCAAAGCAAAACACCCGATGACCTCTGTCATCATCTAAGAAGCTAAGGCCAAAGCCCTCACTGCTTCTTCCAGTACTCTTACTCAAGCGGGATCAGAATTGTTTCAAGTGTAGATTTAGATGTTTTGTCCATGGGAGCCGACTGCCGAGCCGAAGCCAGACAGCGCAGCATCCTTGACATGTTCTTGCCAATTCATCATTTCCCGCGATGAGTAATAAGAGAGATAGAGGGGGGGAAACTTACCTAGTGTCGCCATCTTAAAATCATCTCTTGCCTGCCTTCGTTTGTTTAGCTGCTCGGAGGGAGGACCGACCCGGGTTGCTAGTTGGCGTACGCCACCGAGAGCCTATGCCGGTTAGTAGAACTCTAAAATCTCTTGATTTTGTTCGCTCGCGCTTTGTTTTTTTTTCTTTGTGCTTCATTCTCCTCTCAGCCATTGTTTTTTCTTCTGTCATGCGCGGCCTTTGTTTTTCTTTTGCAACACACAGAGGCTCCGGCGAGTGCCATCACCGCCTCAACTTCTCCTCTTGGGATCAGATTTCTTCAACGATCATCATCAGAAGCGACGACGAGCGCAGCGAAATGCCACAAACGCCTGGTCTGCCAAACCCAAACGAATCCTCAGACCGTTCTTAGTATAAATCATCACGCCCCTCTTGATGTCTTGTCCACTTGTTTTCTCCTCTTCAAGAGGAACACGATGGGCTTCAGCCCCTTGCGGCCATGGCTGTCTCGAGTCTGCCCGCAGGCCTTAACCGACAGTCTATTTCACTGGAGGGATCAGAACTTAAGTGTAGCTTGGAGGATCGCATCGAGTTACTAAAGCCGAAGCTTCTTCGCTCTAGGAATGTTCTTTCCATAAGTCATCATTTCCCCCCAAAATTAGTAAAAACCCCTCCATTCGGAGGGTCGAGTAAACCTTAGGGGGGGAGGACTTACATCGAGGACCCGCCCACCCACCCGCTGTGTAGGTGTGTGTATGTGTTTGCATGTTGTGTGTGTGTGTGTGTGTGTGTGTGTGTGTGTGTGTGTGTGTAGGAGAGCGCCGTCATGTTTCCTGGCATAGTATTAGCTAGTGCGCTTGATGCGATTGGGAAAGTAGTCATGAAGCTTACATGCCATCAGCCTGCCCATCATCCATGGTCATTCTGCTTGGGAGTTGCGTTTGTGCCTGATATGTTTTTTCGTCAGCGGCTGCTGTAGTGCAAATTGTGTTTTGAGAAGAAGATGTAGCGCCATGCTCAGAGTTAGCTCGGTTGTCTAATCACTCGAACCGCTCAAGACCCTCGTAAGCAGTCACTTGCGTAACGCCGACGTGAGCCTCGATGGTTCTATTAGATGTAGCCTACTGTTAGTCATCCTGATCGCGTGTGTTCGTAGAGGTAATAGAAATCGAACTTACGTAAAGAGGGTTACTGGATCAGTGGCGGGTGCGCGCTTCGAGACATTCCTGACGTAAGAAAGGAGTTAGCTTGTGTGGAAGAAACAAGTCGGAGTCAAATGTTGAACAACATGGCTTCTTCAGACTAGCTCTAATCATCAGCTGCCCCCGGTCCTGGGAACTCTGAACCCCGTCGGTTGCAATTCCAGCTGTAGTACCTCTCATCATATGGAAGTGACGCGACAAACAACAGGCCATATACTCACCAGGGACCATCACCATCGGCGGTGAGTGGTACCGTACAGACTGGAGACAGCTCAACGCTGAAGGTGCTGGTGTCTGAAACTGGTTGGTCTCTGACGAGCTTGCAGATGTTCCTGGCAAAACGCGAGTTAGCTTCGGTTCAAGGCATGGATGCAACCCGGACGGGAAAAAGAGCAGATCTCCTCAGAAGCTCTCTTGGTGTATTTTCATCGCTAGCCCCCAGCCTTGAAGGCGGTTGCGTGCAGATGTAGTAACAAGCGTCATCATTGGAGAAGAATTCTACCGCCCGCAAGGGGCCCACTCACCGGAAGAATATGGCCACGAGGGGCGGGAGGCATCAAGATTCGCAAGTTGTGCCGGCTGTGTAGTGGAAGATCCCAGGCAGTAGTCGGATAGTCAGACTTCGGATGAAGAGTCCGGAGACCCTCCACATCGGCGGAGATCGATGCAAGATCGCGGCTCACTTGCGAGCGATCTAGAGCCCGATTAGCGGGTGTTGTGGCAGGGCGAGGGACGTACTTGTGACGGAAGACTGCTTGCCAAACGCGGCAATGGTTCGATAGTGAGTCTGCGATGATGATTAGCTTAAGGTCTTTACGACACGAAACACAAGCGAGAAGCAATAAGGTAAATTGATGGTTCAGAAGCTCTCTTTTTTCGGTCACAGGCCTCGGCAAACGGCTACCAAGGTAACCAGAAGGCGTCATCGACCTGCCGATGTAGTAATTGTTACTTTGGTTAATCATGGACAAGCGGAGGGTCGCGGATCGCAAAGAAAGAGAAGGCAGTCGTACTTACAAAAGAAACGGTCTGCCAGTAAAGCATATCACGCAGCCGATGAAGCAGTCTAGGATGATGATTAGCCAAAGGTCTGTAAGACACGAAACGCAAGCAAGTGAATGATGAAATGTCTCAGACTTAGCTCTGCAAAGCTCATCACCGGTCCCGCCACACAGCAGACACAAGGCCAACTAGTGTATGTTACCATTAAATGTAGCAACTTGTCATCATCGACAAGGGAATGGTGATGTGAATCACAAAGGAAGAAGAGGAGAACTTACTTGCAGTAAAAGGCAGCCTGTGACCAAACGTGTGCGATCGGGTCGTGGAAGACGCAGCGGACTGCGCGCAATGTTATGGCGACGCGTTCTCACGCGCGCCCGAGGAAGATCTGATCAGTGTCAGTGGGGTGTTCCGCTATTTTGGAGTGAGAGCGTGATAGGGCGGGCGAAGTTAAGGCGGAGAATCTCGATCGCGCAGCTGGTACCATGCAAGGCCGGCGACCATTGCAAGGATCAGATGCGCGACGAGAATCATGCGGTGCGGTGGAGTGTGAAGCGGAGGAGTGGTGAAGCGGAGGAGTGGAGGTAGTTTGCAAAGCGGACGCAGCCCGTCGCGCGTCAGATCTTATGGGACCTGACGAGCGACGCGACCATGGAGCGCTTGCAAAGGCTGCGGAAGGGGCTTGAAAGGAAGAAGAGCTGATAAATGGAGAGTTACTCACTGAGCGAAGACGTCAAGCGCGTTGCGCAAGCCCTTGAAGGAGCTGTGTTGTATGGAGGATACGGAGGTGTTGAGGTCGTGGAGGCGGGCGCCGGTTTTATGCACCGTTCGCGCGTCTGAAAAAACGTGTCAGCTGCCGGCCGCAGCTTAGGCAGCAGTTAAGGTTGTGTAGGTGAAAATAGTGAGGGTGGGCACAGCTGCTGTCGCTGCGGAGAGGTGCCTCCAGCCTCTCTGGGGCTACCAGTCATTACTATGGAACCGCTGCACCCGGTGCAGGTTTATCATCACCTATGCCTATCTTCTTCAAGATCAAGTGAAGCGTGTGCGGGCGCTGATGGGCTGCTGGAGGCTTTGGCAGGGTGAGTGGGTGGAAGTGTCCTCCGTTGCCCCCCACAACACACGGGCCTCCTGGAGGGACAGCGCGGCGCGACTGGACGCCATAACGCACTGCCAGCCGCGAGTTGGCGCGCGAAAGCTCTCAGACGATGGCTATGGAAGCAATATATCTATCAAGTGAAGACGTATGAAAGTCCTACAGCCTTCAATCACCATATCTGGCGGTGAGTGCAGTCGCGCATGGCGTCAAATGTGATGAGCCTCCCCGGCAACAGATTCAGCTTTCTCTCACCTCTGCGCCATAGTAGGCTATCCTTACTACACTGTGAGGCTTGCAAACTCTCACTTTTGGATACAATGGATTTTTACACAACGGGTGAACGAAAAATCTTTCATGGGGAGTCTTTGAAAGCGCACAGCCGCAAGACGAAAGACACGAGTGGGCTGTAGAATGATTTCACATCTGGCAGTGCTTCAGTTCCATACGAGGGGCAGCTGCAAGCATTTATGAGCGTTCTTTCGTAGTCACAATTGGCAGCGTGCAGGAGCGCCGCCCCTCAACCACAGAGAAGATGACCGGATATTTCTACCACAATGCTACCTACAGCACAGCAGTCACGAATCTTTTCTTCCAAAGCTAACTTGGCAACTCGGGTCCAACAACAACGGTCACTAGCTGGGTTTCATGATCACGCCAGTTGCTTGGAGGCCTACTCCACCTTCACGCATAAGCGGGCTTGGCCCAAACTTCGCGGCTCCATCTTGCAATCATAGTGCTCTGCATAGAGAATAGAACACGGCTCTCGAGGGCGTGCTGGATGTCAAAGACGAGTGTCTCTTGTATCTCTGTTTGCCCAGAATATCTATCTACCAAGGCCTTTCCTGCACCTGACGGCAATGGTCTTTCCATTCTCCATCAGAGCATGATAGGCAAGTAGGCCGCTGTTGCAGTCCACACGAGGGAAAAGGCGTAGATGCACAAGGCGGAGGGGCGGTGCCAGCTGTCAGGGCCGGTCGGCGGCCATGACGGTTGTGCTTTCGATTCAAAACATGGTCTGCGGGCCGGACGTAGGGGGGTCGGGGTGAGCGATCAGGCCTGGAGCGGGCGGCGTGCAAGCTTCGGGTGACTTCTGAGCGCATCGACAGTCGCTGCAGCAGCAGTGGTGGGCTTTGGAGCTGGATAACCTGTTAGCGATGTGACGGCAAGCAAGAGCGACTTCTTGCGATCGACGGGCGTCGTACCTACACGCGCTGAGATGCGTCCCAAGCCGCGGCACCGCGTCACTGGTTTTCTCCATCGCCACTCGCTCACCCTTGGCTTTTCCTCCCCCGCGCGGGTCTCGAGCATCGGTTTATCCACAAAGTTTCCCATTGCACGAGTACTCCGGGCATTTCGTTCTGCTCATCCAGCTTCTTCCGGCCCTGCAGCCCTGCAGCCCTTTCAATATCGACCGTCTCGGGAGACCAAAGCCACTGTCGCCGTCAACATCCCACTCGGGTCACCAACTGACCTTCCACAACAGACTCAGCGCCGAGTTGATCTCCCCATACCCCGGCAACTCCCAAAGACCTCGACGATCTTGACAGGACAGTGGGCGCATCGCCATGCACAGTCATGGACTCCCCAGCAAAGCGGAAGAGGAACAGCACGGTGTCGAACGGACCCTGGGCGCGAGATCGGCTTGCGCCGGATGGCGTCTTGTGTCCGGTAGGATGGCAAGAGCACACCAAGGGCAATTGGCCGAAGTCCAGAAGGAAGCTCGATCAATTCAAGAGTAAGCAGCTGATATAGGCGGGCGCCGATGCTGCTGACGTTCCCTCCTCTACAGGTCCCAGTGATGGCCGTCACAGCGTACGACCGAGTGGCATCCACCAGATAGACTACAAAATGACGGCAAGACGCGGAATCGACGTGTGCCATACCCCATGAGGTGCTCCCAGGCCTTTTCCTGGTGAAGATTAGGGCGTTCCCTCTCTGGTTCCCTCCTCTGCTGCCTCCCACAACTGACTCGTCCCTCATCTTCACAATCCAGCATCGACGATCATCCAGTGAGGAGGAATGCGTGGATTTCAATCACAGCATTCTAACACGAACAAGACACAAAGGCGCATCGTACAGATCACGTTGTTTTCGGACAAGTTGGAAAGCAGACAGCAAGAGACGATGCACGCGTACCACGTGTGAACGACCAACGCAATTACACGGGCGATCATCAGAAGATACAAGCCACACCGGGACGCTGAGAGTGCTGAGAGCATCGGTCGTCAGACTGTTGGAGGAATGGCGAGACATCGAGCTTACCAGTAGGGAGCCTTGAGCGCATGGGGCATTCAGCAATCGTGAAGATGGAAGCGGCTGCAATACCGTCGGCTCTCACAAAGGATTTGGATACTGTGAAAACTACGGCATAGAATGGCTGGTTAACGTGGAGTCCCTACCAATGCCGGGCGGGCGAGCTGCAGAGAAAGCCGCTCCTCCGCGTCAACGGTCCAGCGACCTCCAAACACTTGAATCTGGGCGATCATAGTTCACAGCCCATCTTTTCATGGTGGTTTGTATTAAAGCCGTGGGCGAGGCCACGGTGCTTGCTGGAACTACCGCACATCACTGACGCAATTCCGCTGGAGAATGGAGTGTCGTGGGGTAACGCGGATGCTGGTCGCGGCTGGCGCCGGCAAAGTGAGACAGCGCGATGTTTGGACATGGTCTGCGTTGCTAATTTGCCTGGTAAGGAGTTATGTGGCGGTTCACTTCTGCCAAACACCCAGCAGCATACGGTGAAGAGCGAACCTGGCTTGAGAGTCTGAGGCTTTGAGACAAACTTGAGCCCGCCGAATGATCTTGGAAACGTCATCCTTCCTGACCAAACTATATGCATCCACAGCAGGATGTTGTGACGGACCTGTGGACTGTACCAACTGTGACAGAAAGGCCGATGTCGAATGCAGCATACCCGTGGTAGTAGGCTGTTGCATCTTGGGAAAGGGAAGGCCGTGCTCTCTGAATCTCGTTGTTGCCGAACAGTGTCCAGGGTATTTTCTGCAGCATGGCAAGTTGTCACTTGCTGCCAGTATTTCTGCTGCTACTGCCACCGCGTTTACCGATGCCACTGAGGAGCTGGTGCTGCGTGCCCAATTGTTCTTTGAGTAGGATAACGTCAGCAATACTACCTTCTGCGGGAGCCATTTGAGGTTCCAGAATACCTACGCAATGCCCCAGAGCCACCAGTACTCCTTGAACGAGTACCGCCCTTGCCGGTGCCCGCGATGCAGTAGGGAGATTCGAGACCGCGGAGCATTTGTCCTATATGCAAAAGCTTGACTGCGAGTTCGTTAGAAGCTCAATGTTCTCAACCTTTCCGGAGTCTTCATCCAGCGAGTGTGGGTGGGCAGTGAGGAAGCTCGCGGCGGCAACGGAGACTTGCCACAGCAGACGTACCGGAGCCTAGTTGCCCTGCGGTCGATCGTCCAGTGTGACATTGCTCCTTCCCCGATCTGGTGTTTGCATTGCAGAAGCTCGTCACAAACACTCCCAGCCGCTCACATTGTCTCCCAGGTGTTCTCCCATATATGTGTCCTGCACGCCGGAACAGCAGCGCTGTCTCCATGAAGTATGAATTGTAGGGCGGGTACGGTGGTCGAGCGCTAGACCTTGATCTCCACAGCGATGGAGGGGTGAAACGGCAAAAGTGTCGCATGCGTGGGCGGGAGACAAGGTAAGGCGCGCCGCAGTGAAGGCCTGAGAGGTAGCCATCGTAGGCGGCGGTGGCGGCGGCGGCGAGGAGCCAGGGTGCTTGTTGCTGCTATCATTTGTGGTCAGATAACGTCGAAGTGTGAGCGCATGCGCGGGCGCGCCAACAGGGAGAGAGCGGCAACGATGGTAGACAGCGTACCTGGCAGTGACGCACCGTGTCGCGCCATTTCTGCATAGGTGAAGCCGGTCTGATTGAAGATCGACGGACGTCTAGCATCGAGCGAGTTGGTAACTTGGTGTGGCGCGCTGCCGATGCTGAGAGGCTCTGGGCGCAAGCGTAAAGTGACCGCCATGGACTACGGTGCGGAGCCAGGGTAGGACAGCAAGAGGTGCTGCAAGCAAAGGCAGCAGCAGAGAGAAGTGACCGTTGGCGGTTGCGAAGGGCTGTGCAGGTGCGGCAAGCTGGCAACACTGCGGTTTTGGAGGCGCAAGCGGATCGCAACGGACGGCACCCATAGCCAGGTCGTGATGACAAGACAAACGCAGCGCGACGCAGGCAGAGGGAGCGGTACAACCATGCGTGATTCCACAGTTGCGCAATGCTAAACAGTCGGGACTCGGGACTACCAGGAAGCTATGGGCGCAAGCGGAAGGCGGAGGGCGATGAACAGCGCGCAGCACCAAGGCAGACGTAGCGCGGCGCAAACAACAGCAGCTTTGGGCGCAAGCTCTTACACCAGCCAAAGCCACCGCGATCAGATCTCACACAAGTCTCTTCCTCGCACCCCGGCGCAAGGCCGGAGCTACAACGAAAAGATAAAAAGTTCGCATCAGCCTCAGACAGTGCAATAGAGGCGACACTGTGACCAGTGGCAACGGGCGGTGCCCAAGAGGCCACCGGCCGGGATCCAAAAAGTAGATTAATCGAAAAAGCCCCCGTAGGGGCGTTCTAGAGATTAAACTAAAAAGAACTGCTACTGCACTTGATCCAAGCCAAAAGGCAAACAAGGAGCTGAAGAAGAAAAGAAGAGAGGATGGGGTGAAGAACGGGGGGTTTATATGTTGCTTCGGATCGGAGTAACACGCCGCTCCGGCGCCTGCTCAGGTGGCGGATCGGGGCCCGTCGTCGGCGGAGCAACGCCACATGATCCCGAGTCTGGCGCATCATCATCTGTCGCACACAAGGAACGAGACATCCGAATGAAGACGGCATAAGGTTGCGGTAATCGCACGGCTTCACTTTATCCGTCACACGAAAGCCACACGGGTGGTTTCGAGGCCGCGCGGCTCTTGGGCTGCTTTTCCAGTGGGTGGAATTAAGGTTGCGTGAGGCGTGCGGGGGGCGGCGCCGATCGAATTGCCCATGAAGGAAAAGACTCGCGCACTTCGTGGAGCCTGGCACGCCATCCCTGCTCGGTGCCACAGAACAAAAACAAAGACATGCACAAAACCATGATTGTATATACACTCTGCACAGCTACCGCACTCCTGCGCCTCCCACTTCCAGCAATCAATACCTATATACCACCGGAGCGGATCCTCCGCCGCCACAATCCTCGTCCACGGGACGCTCGCACAGCTCCTCAAGCCCCCAACTTTTCAACCGGTCGTTATGGCCAAACTTCTTTGCCCGCCGATCCACCAGGCTCGCCTTCCCACCATCCAGCACGCTCTTGTCAAACCGGACGATCTCGTGCAGCCACACCATCGACAGCGCGTCCTCGTCCTCGCCCCACGACCGCCCGGCCTCGCCCACGATGAAGTCCTCTGGCAGCACGTACGCGTCTGCTCGATCCGGGAGGTCGAGGTATACGCCCGTGGCTATCCGCAGCAGATGCAGCTGGTCGAACAGCCGGAAGACTTCGACCTTCGTGCTGGATGGCAAGTGACAAGCCTCTCGTGACACGAGGATCTCGATCGCCTTGAAGTCCTTGTCCGGCTCCCGCAGCGCCGCCGCCAGATCGGCGCTCACACCCTGCCGATGCTCTGGCCAGTCCTCGCGGCTGTCGTGCAGGGAGGCCGATAGAGTGTCGACGAGGACGCACAGGTCGGCTTGCCAGTCCATCCACGCCCGGTAGAGGCCGAAGAACCAGCAGTGGCGCGTCAGGCATCTGGCAATGTCGACCCGGGTGATGAGTGTTTCCTCGAAGGTGAGGTACAGGAAGCGGAAGAGAAGTTCCGTAATGAGTCGGACTTCTTCGGATGCCAGGTACGTGCCCTCGCTGTCCTCGAGGTGCTTTGCTATCAGGTCGAGGACTGCCTCCAGCGGCTCATTTGCTGCGGCGACAGACAGCTCGCTGATGATTTCCAGATCCTCGTGCTGTTCGGCGGCGTCGACGATCTTGCGGAGCGCAGGGCCGAGGTCGGCGCGACCGCAGTAGTGGTGGTAGTCGATTGGCATCTGGTACATTAGGATCTCGAGATCAACCGCCTCCTTGGCTCTGCCGACTAAGATGCGCTCGATGGTAGGCATGTAGAGCCGACGAAAATATTCGAGGTGTTGGTGCTCGAGCACCCTGATCCGCTTAGACACGGCCTCCATCTGGAGCTGCTGCGCCAAGAGCATATCGGCGCTGTCGACTATGGGCTTTGCAAGGTTCGCAGCTTTGGCGATGTCACGAGCCCGCTCCAGGTTCGCGCCGTATCCGCACTCGGGAATGCCCTCGAGGATCAGTGCCTTGGCACGAGCATTTTGGCAGCCCTCCACGAGCCCCCTGAACTGCCTGACGGCGTCGTGGTGGTAAAGGCTAAACCGCGAAAGGTTCTTCACAAGCCAGTTGCGCCTCCTCGCTCTAACCGATATCAAGTACGTCAGGCTCGACGGCCTTTCTAGCTCTGTCGGTTCGCTGTTGAGCATCCTCAGGGGATTCAGAATGACGGTAGTAGCCCCGCTCAGCATTTCGGTGCTTTCCCAAGCTTTCCACAGCATGGAAAGCGTGAAAATTCTGTTTCTGACCGTCGTGGGCCACGTGAGGATGTCGTCGCGCATCACACGGCAGAGTTCGTCGAAATTCCCAGCGCCATGGCTCACCGTGTCCATCTCGTCAAGCTCGTGCAGGAACCGCTCCCTCCTTGCACTGGCGGGGCTTGGTCCCAGGTCCTTAATATCCAGCAAAAGCACTTCCCTACTCTTCTTTACCGAAATACCCAGGCTCTTGGCCATCCTGAGGAGTGGCTTGATTGCTTTATGAGCGGCAAGCGCCGGCGACTTGATATGCCACTGTTCCCAGTTGGCAACATCCCACAGGACGTCCCAACTTGGTCGATCCCACGTCCCCAAGACACACTTGAAGAACGTACCGAGAAGCATGGCCGGTAAGTCGCGCGTCCCTACATCGTTCCAAGCAGGTGATCCCAAGCGGCGATTGATTACTTGTCGAGCCGCCTCTTCGGCTGAGTAACCAGGCTCGATCTGTCGCAGCTCTTTCATCACTGGATTATCGTCATCAAGGCTCGACGACGTCAGTATCTCGTCCACCAACTGGTCAACGATGTCTCTGTGTTTCTTCAGAGCCCTCCACATCCTCCTGCTGGCCTCGAACAGCTTCTTCTCGCCGGCCAGCAGGTGGTTCGGAGTGCAAATGTTCGCCGGCGGGTCCTCGACAGGCTCGGGGTCAGGCAGTGTCTGGCTCCTGTCGTAGCGGTGCAGACCGCGCAAGTCCTCGCTGTTACGGTTGGACGAGTGGGCACTGACTGCGATGGCGTGGAGGGAGCGGTCGATGAAGGGGTTGTTCAGGGCGACAGCCGCACTGGTCGCGGCGTAGACGTTCTTCAGGCCCCGAGGATCGGCGGACACCAGGCGCAGCACACGGCGACCTGTCTCTTGTTGCTCTGCGGGAAGGGCCTGGACCAGGATGTTCAACCGAAGCCAGTGGTTGAATAGGTTCTCGTCGACGCGCTCGAGCATTAGGCGGGCCGCCGCGGCGCGTGCCTCTCGAGCCTGGATCGGCTGCTCGTGCAGACGAAGGCGGTGCTCAGCGGCAACCTCGTCGATGGCCTGCATGATCGGGACGCCTTCCGCTTGATGAAGCACGACGACCCGGACTTGTGCCTCGCCGGGAAGCTGCTGGAACGTGCGAAGGCGATCTGCGCCGTCTGTCGTCTCCATCTCCCGCTCGGGATCTGGTGGCCGCCAGCCCGTCTCCGAGTTGTCGCTGCTGGGTTCCCATACGCGCCAGCTGGCAGCGTCATCCATGTCTTGCTCTTCATTTTCTTCGTCTGTGTCTTCATCGCTGGACTCCAGCTCGTCATCCGACACGAAGGGGTCGTCATATGCAGGCCCCGTGGTGTCCTCTCTCTCGTCAAGTTCTGAGTAGCTGAAGGTGGAGTCGCTCGCAGCGAACGATGAGCGGTTACGTGGCATGGTCGGAGTTAGACTGCGCACAATCAGCAACGTCTTTGCGGTGGTGTAGTGGCTTCGCTCGAGACTTACAGTGAATACGTGCGAGGTTTATATGTGTTGGTGGACGCCGAGTGTGCAAGCTGTCGCATTCGCGGGTGGAGTTGGTTTGTCGGGCGTCGAAGATTCTGCGGGTTGTTGCGCATATATAAAGTAGGTAGTCGGGAGTACCATGGATCGGCACTTGGTACTTGGTAGACGGTGACGCTAACAATGCAATTCTTCACCAACCTCCGGCTTTTGCACTGTTAACACGGTGTCCACAGGCAAAATCATTGAACGCGAGAAGACCGTAGGCACTCTGACTCTTACCTCGATTCTCTAATTACCTCTTTGTTTGCCATTCTCACCAGCCGTCGTTCATCTCATCCCAATGAGGACCAAATGTCTCGCCACTGAATAAGATGGCATACCGTCTGGCGTTGCTATAGCTGCCCTTCCACATTACAGTAATCCTCTGCTTCGTGGCCGCTGCTCTCTCTACCTTCAGATCCTTGGAGCATACCTCAAGACCCCTGTTCTGTCATCACCATGGAGATAGAATATACTTAAGGCAGGGGTTGGGAACGCTACTCATTGGGCCCGCCATGCCCCAGCAAGTGGATGTGCTTCCAAACTCAAAGCGCTTGTCATAAGGGACTATGACAACGTACCGCTTGTATTAAGAGATCGCGGTACCTTCTTCTTGTATTTAAGCAGTTGGCACCACGGCGAGGAAGAAAATGCGGAGGCTAGATACAAAGAGAGTGCCATATAATCTTACAGCCTGAAACCGTATACACATAGAAATATGCCCAGTGTTGAAAAGCGATCTATTTACGTCATATATATATGTGTACCAACAATCATTTGCCACGTGTACTCATTTGTCAATCCAAAATATATGTTGGACACCACACTCGATTGTTGATCATCCCGATTTGCAAAAGCATGACTTCGTCAGAGAGAAAGACAAACGGAGTTGATATCCAGAGTTGGACGTCTTTATTGGATTTTGTCACATGCAGATCCCATACCAACAACGGTCCCACATTCGGCTATCAAGTCCGAGCAGCCCATAACAGAACCCAACCCTACAATCAAACAATGTCGGGTCAAGCCCTAAGGCCTTCATCGCGGACCACAAGCTTGCCCCCATCCAACACACATCCTTAATACACCACCAGCGTATGGGACTCCTCATACCAATCGAACGCCAACGCTTCCACACTGCGATCCCCAACCTCAATCCCACAAAGACCCTCGGCCAACAACATTCCATCTCCTTCATCCCCACCAAGCAACCAGCGGCACGAAACACTCCTCAGCCTATCCAACTCCCCAAGATGGCTCAGCACCTCCCTCCTCTTCTCAACGCCGCCCTCCAACACGCCCCAGCGCAGCCGTCAAGCCATTCACAATTTCAGCCCTCCCTCTCCTCCACATTACCATCCCCCAAGCACTCCACAACATCCACACTCCCGCTTCCATCCTCCCCTTCTCTCTCAAGTCTCAACCACTTAATCGCCTCCTCCCCAGCAGTATCCGCATCCCATCGTACCTCTCCACCTAACATTCATCGGCGCATGCAACCCATGTCCCGGCATACACGCCACCAGCCGCCGCCGCGGCCACGCTACATCAGGCCATGGGACCGCGCGCGAGAGAGAGCAGTGTGGGCGCGCGACGCGAGCTGCAGGCGGCGGTCGTCATCGTCGAGGGCTTTGTAGGTAGATGATCTACGTAAGGGTTGAGTCGGCGGCCGGCGAGGCGGGGCGGGCGCGTGGAGGGAGGAATCCCGGGCGGCGATGCGGGAGGCGCAGACGGCGGCGGCGGCGGCGGCGTCGTGCTTGTGGAGCAGGGAGACGGCGGCGAGATCGAAGCTGCGGCGAGGGCGCGGATGCGGCGGGCTTGGAGGACGGTGGGGGAGGAGGTGGCGAGGATGGAGAGCATGTCTCGGCGGGCGCGCGGGTGCGGCGGGCAGTGGCAGTGGGGACGAGGGCCGCGAGGGTCTGAGCCGGTTAGGGTCTGGAGGGCGGTTAGCGTGGCGGTGACTGCGGTGAGGATGCGCGTGTCCATGTTGGTGTGGGGCGGTCGGGGCGCGGTGGCCCGGTGGGTGGGGAGGGGAGAATTTTGTGCTGGGCGCGGAAGGCGGCGCTGAGGGCAGAGAAGTCGCTACGGATGCGCTCCAGGGGCTTGCCTGCCTCGAGATCCTGCGCTTAGCAGTCCATTATGGCTTGCGTGGTTACTGGAAGCCCTACACCGCTATACTGCGACATGATTTAATTTTTATATCGCTCCCGGCGCCTCAGATGGTCTGTCCCGCAAACGGGGATGTTACCAGTTCCTCAGCAAGCGTTCTCAGTTCGTGCAAACATACACTTCACTGCTTCGCTAGATCACAACATAGATCGTACTGCACTGAAATGAAAATTTGCGGTTGGGTGCGGAGTCAAGGCGACTCCGCGGTTTTTTTTTTTTTTTTTGAGTTTATCCTATCCTGCTCATACGCTGCTCACATCCTCTCACATCCTACTGAAATTTCTAAACTAGACGCACCAGACCTCCGGTTTCGCACTGGAGATGACCATCTTCCCACCTTGCAATACACCACGGTCCTCAGGTAAAGTAACCCACCTCCGCATCTCTGCATATGCCCAACGGACACTGGCATCTTCCTCGAATCCCGTGCGGTCTTGAAATGCGGGCTCATGTAGAGCCCCATCCAGAGACGGAGGCAAGCCAGCAAGGGTTTCGGAGAGGTGTCCCAGGTTGTTCAGCCTGTTGTCCAGGTTCCTGAGCCGAGTGACTTCGGGCCAAATCTCTCCCGTGGTGACCAGCTGCGCGGCCTGGAAAGCTGGGTCGTCGACGAGACCGCTTTCATCGTACTCCTTGTACGTGTCCTTCCTGTCCTGGAAGTTCGTGAACCAAGCGTCGATGAGCCCGGTCATCCAGGAAAGCGCAGTCGTGATCTCGCCGACAGAATGGTCGTGAATCCAATCGCTGCGGACGTAGTGGGAGCCCCAGCAGAAGAGGCGCGCGAGCATGATGCTCTCGTGTCGTGTCATGTGGAGGATTCTGTAATTGACAGTCCGGTCGAAGTGCTGCTCCAGGGTGGTGGCCTTTGAGGAGAGGTAGTAGATGGCAAAGAGATGGTACACCCTGCCGCGCATAACCGGGCCGTCGAGACTCAAATCGTCGCCCTCCCAGTGGTCTCTCAGGATCGTCAGCACGCCGTCGAGATCATGGTTCTCGGCCTTCCTGCGAATCAGCCTGCGCTGCGTCGCCGGCAGGATCTGGAACAGCTCATCGACCTTGGGCAACTGTGCCCTAACAGCCGCCATGCTGCTGAAGAAGTTGCTGGTAAGATCCATACCATGCAAGTCCTCGCCGATGTCGCGCAGCTTGTGGGTGATTTGCACCGCCATGGAGTTGTCCTGATCGGCCTTGATGGAGTTGAAATGCCCACACAGCGCATTCAGAAACGGCGACATCAGCTCGCCCCAGCCATGCGCGATGGCGGCCTGCATCGCGTTCCTCAGCCTCGACAGCGTATTCGTCCTCTCCCCACCGCACAGTTCCGGGTGCAGCGCGTCCGCAATCGCCTTCCGCGCAGCCTCGTCCTCGATCTCCGGCAGAATCAGGTCGACGACCCTCCTCTCCGCCACCCGCCACTTCTCCCGCTCCCTCCACTGCCGGAACGCCCTCATGACCCTGATCCGCATCCTCATCACCATCATCCCGCCCGGATGCTCCACATTCATCCAGTCGTGCTCGAAATACACATCCCCCGCAACACACACCTCGGGCCGCACCGCCATCGGCAACTCCCTCACACACCACGTCAGCCCCTCCAACAGCTCCAACGCCTCCCTCCCCCTGCGCAGCATCTCTTTTCCCCACTCATCCTGCTGTTGCTGCTGCGCCGCCGCCGCCCCCCGCGCCGCCACCCCGTCGAAGAACCGCCTCGTCCGATCGGCGACGTGCAGCAGCTCCTCGCCCAGCTGCGCCGCCAGCAGCATGCTGCCGTAGTCCATGAAGCGGACGTCGCGCCCCACGCGGTCGAGGTTCTGCTTGACGCTGCACGCGTCGCCGTCGCGCTGGCGCTCGAGGTTGAAGGCCGCGAGGTGCGCGAGCGCCGTGTGGGCTCGCGTCGCGGCGAGGCGGGTGGGGCCGTCCGCGTGCGTGCGGTCGGGCGCGATGGTCAGGGCGAGGGAGGTGGCGATGGCGCTGGGGGAGGGGGACGGGTGGGTGAGGGTCGGTGGGGCGTTTGAGGAGGAGGAGGAGGAGGAGGTGGAGGAGGAGGTGGAGGAGGAGAAGGAGGAGGTGGCGGAGGCGGAGGCGGAGGCGGAGGGGTCGTGGGGCGGGGCGGGGGTGTTGGCGTCTTGATCGGCTTGGTGGGTGGCTTGGTTGGTGCGGTTGGCGGGGATGAGTTGCGGTGCGGGGCGGCGCTGGGCGAGTTGTTGGGCCGGGAAGGAGTCGGCACCATGGGTGGTGGCGATGGAGGCTTGGATGTCGTCGTACCAGGACAAGAGGTAGTCGTACAGCTGGTCGCGGAGGGAGATGACTTCGTTGACGGCATCAACTATGTTGTCCTTGTGGCGAGCCAGGTCGGTTTCGTCAAGCGTGGTTTGCGACATCTTGCTTGGGGTGGGAGTCAAGGTGGGTCTTGCTCCCGTGTTGGGCTGGTTCTGTGGTTGTCGACGCTATCCAACGGTCAGGTTTCGTGTGCTTTGGTTTTGTTTCCGAGAGCTTACCAACTTCTTGGTAAGAGTAGAACTTGGAGGGTGGAGGGTGGAGGGTGGAGGAGCTGGTGGGCGGGCAGAAATAAGAAGCATGGCTTCGGCAGTGATGGCGAACAGTGAGCTTAACACCGGCATGGAGGTGAATAGCAGATGGGCAGTGGATGTCAGCCGCGACCCAGGCTCCACTCGCTGATTGGTTCTCGGGAGGACGTTGTTTAGTAGAGATTGTATTGTGCACTGACTACGGGAGAGTCACCTGGACTCCAGCACATGCGCCAGGATGTGAAGGACTACCTGTCAATACAGAACCCGCACCTGTTACCAGTCTCCGATACCGCCGTGCTCTTCGCAGCTCGCATACTCCCTCACGTCGACAAGGTACCTCATCCTGTCGTACAGGTTTCGAATATCTTCCTCCTCCTTCCCATCACCGTCCAGTTCCATGCCCAAGAATGTCGGGTCTGCTGAGTGAGGTAAGCTGCGCAGGATATCCGCCGCAAGGCCAGCCTCTCTCAGTTGCTCATGAAGATCGCGCAAGCAGATTATGAACTCGGGAGAAACATCGAGCGTTTCGCTCGTCTCCAACAAGTCCTTGAAAAAGTCCGTGCTGCTGTCTGCCCTCTCTTCCAGGGCTTCAGTCTCGGTATAATCTTTGAAATCCTGAATAGCTCCCATCCTGTTATCGTATACTTCATCGCCAGGCTCGTAGGAGTGATCATCTTTCAAGGTTCGCAAGCCCTCTCGGAACTTGCGACAGGCATGGTCAAGCTTCCAGAGGATGCCCGTCGTCCAGCCGTACAGTGTGCGATCCTTAAGGTGGTTTTCGGGGTCGAACGTGCGGCTATGGTATAGAAAGCGCAGGATGACGGTGTACATAAGCCAAGCGTAATCGAGGAACATATGCGGGATGGTGGCTTGCCGAGGCGATGTTCGATCTCTATAATGCCTTATGAGTTGATGGATGTGTGAGTATGCGAATCGGAGAGCATGATAGCGACGCAAATGGTAGTCGAACTGGTCCTCCGGGATCGGAAACGCATTCGTGATGGCGACAAGAAAGAGCTGATAGTTTCCTTTCATGACTGCAACGTCTATGCTGATACGCGATGCAAGGGGAAGGCTGGAGACTGCAGTGTCGAGGGCGAGGTCCTGCTCGGACCAGGATGTCTTCTCTCGGACACAGTTTTCCAAAAGTTCGAGGACCTGCTCCGGAGGGGTTGAATCCCTGAACCTTTTGATCCTCTCTCGGAAATGAAGGAGGGAGACGCTAAAAGTGTCGGGGTCGCCTCCAATTCCATACATGATCAACTGCCTGATTTCGTCAGGGAACGCCGAAGGATTTTTGTACCAGAAGTTTTTGATGGCGCAATAATTCCACCGACTCCACGGGAGCGCAAGGCGCCGTATGACCTCGGCGGCACCCTTTCCGGTCTCTGCGATGCTCGCGTAGCGCTCGGCTAGACCCGAGGTATGTTCCTCATACTTCGATGCGGCTGTATTCCAGTCTTTATACAGCGGAAGCTGAATCACCTCTCCATGGATGACTGTTTCGTATCCAGGATGCGCGCTGTCTGGATCAGGATCAAGAACCATTGCGGCGGCTGTGTGGTTGAGGTGGCGGCGGGTGGAGGGCAGCTATGGTGGGCGGGCGAAGATGCGAGGGTGTAGAGGAGAGGGAGGACGGAGCGCGCGTAGAAGGCGACAACACGGACGCCATGCGCTCACCATGGCGCACTGGCCACCTATCATGTGCTCCGGATACGCCTCTTCCGTGCGGAGCTCTTCCCTCAGCGCGTCAATCTGCTTCCATTTCTCCAGACCCGCAAGGCTCGGGGTCGGTGATGAGATCCAGCCGCCCAAGAATATGGTGATATATAGTACTGCTTTGTTTCAGCACTTAGGAACACTGCTAGGTTTTATACAATTTTAATCTTGCATGGCAAGAGCAACCAGCGCAAATAATTATTACTTGCTACGGACCGCAAAGCTTATAACTGCTGCAAACGAGTGCTATCCACCAAGAAAGGGCAGTGGCTCACTGAGGAGCGCAGTCGCTTAGCTAGAAACATCCTGCAGGCGTGACGGCATCCAGATTGAGTAATGAGCAATCGGGCAATGTGAAAGCGCTGCCACGCGTCTTACAAATAGAGTCAGCTGGGAGCAATAGCGACAGCGCATCCCGAAGCGGACTAGCGCCTGAAAATGGTCACATAAAATCTCAACCCCATCCAGCCTTCGACTCCACACCACCGCGAAAATGGCCTCGCCCGACGGCTCCCACTCCTGCCCCCCCGCCGCCACCCGCGCCCGCGCCCCCATCCGCCGTTGGTTCGCCACGGCGATGGAGAGGCTGCGCTTTGGCCGCCGCCGCCGCACTTCGCCGTAAGTTGATCCAGCTCACTCACCTCCCACGAAAATGCTATCTGATGGTCAAGCCCACAGTGCTTCGCCCGCTCCTCCTCCTCCACCAGCACCACCTCCTCCTCCTCACTCGGCTTCCGCGCCGCCGCCGCCGCCGCCAACCCGCCGCGCCCCGCCCCCGCCGCCCGACCCCATCCGGCGCCCGCGCCCGCGCACCGTGCCGCTCTCCGAGATCGCGGCCAGCCGAGCGCTGGTGTCATGGCTGCCGCCGAGCCAGCGGCAATGCACGCTCTGCCGCAAGCCGTACGACGGCGCCGTAAGTCCCATCTCCAGTACATCCTCACCATTTTCAACAACACGCTACACTTACCCTTTACCTTCTCTGCAACAGAACTCCGACCTCGAGCGCCGCACGCCGTGGGAGGAGAGGGAGCTGGCCGTCCGGGTGCCCGGCTGCGCGAAGAAGCCCGAGAGCCGGGCGCACGTCGTGGGACGGCGCTGTCTGGAGCGCTGGGTCGCCGTGTCGGGCAGCCCGCATGCGTGTCCGCTGTGCGCCTTCAGCGGACGCTGAGCAGCCGCGGCTCCTGGATTGGCTACGCTCGCCGTCTCCTCCCCGGCCGGCATGCCTTCAAGGAGAACACAGGCACAAGCGGGAGCTTTGGGAATACATCAAGTCGCAATATGCAGCCCGTGGCGATCTCGTCTTTACAGGTTCGAACGCGCTGGTTGCATCACCCCACAGGATTCCGCCGCCTACAGTGGAGTACCGAAGGAGCTGCAGTACGTTGACCGCAGGACCCTCAAGTGGGTTGCTTGCTTTGGATGATGAACCGATCACGGGTTTTCGTTATTTCTTCATTTTCTTTTTTTGGCGGGCTTTTTCTTCTTCTACTAGCCCTCATCATCGCGTACGGAATGAATCTCACCACCACTCGCGACAGTCTTGCCTTTGACCACTACTGGTACTGATCGGTGCTTACATACATATTCACATTACCACTTTCCCGCATTTACAGCGTCGTCGCGACTTCTCGGTAAGTGAACAAAGAAAGTAAAAATCCGGAAAGCCGTTCGCGAATCGTTCTTTTACAACATCGACATGAGAGCAAGACAAAGAATTACGGTGGTATTAGCACGTTTCGCATTTTAACCAGACGTTCGAGGTTGGACTTTCTCTTTAGCTGATTTCTCTATGAGGTCCAATGGCCGTTTCATCGGGCTTACAAGTAATGACTAACGCTTGGCTGTTGTTTCAATCTTCCTGGAGGTTTGACTTGACGAATAGGCTAGTGCATATATGGGTAAGTGTTCCACTCTTTCCGTTCAATGAAAAGGTTGACTGGAACCCTGCACTAGCACAGCTGTTCAAAGTGAAGTATCGTGGCACGGTTTCTACCTCGGTTTCTCTAAAAACTCGCCCACAGGCTCGGCTTCTTGTGCAGGAGGCAAGTCTAAATAATGCAGATTCGACATTGACGCCCGTCATCAGGCTTAGATAATCATACTATCAGGATCCACCATTCCAAAACCCTACACTCCCCCTTTTCTATCGCTAAGAAGATACCAACAACCATTTACTCTTTGCAGCAAAAGACCTTGCGGTCATCACCCTCACACCTCTCATTCGGGTTATCACCGTACTTACTCTCGGTGATCTTCTTGGTTCCATCCGGGCACTTTGCGTGTTCGCACTTGGGAGCCTCGCCATGCCATGCGCACTGCTTGCCCTTATAATCCCTCAGATCCACCGGCATGATCTGAATCGGCTCTTCAAGATCGAAGTACCAGCTTCCTGTCCCAGGCGGGACCTTATCGGCATCCTTCCAGTAAAACCACGCCGTGCCGCGCGCCAGCTTAGTGTACTGCTTAACCCATAGGGTTCGCGCCGCGATTTCGTCGAACCAGGGAGTAGTGTCGTCTGCGAGTTGCCTGTCCGTGTCCCAAAGGGTGATGGTAGGGATGTCGAGTCGTTCGTTAGCCCAGTCTTGCGCTGCGTCCTTATAGTCTCCGATGTAGAAGACGAATTCGTTTTCGTCGTTATCCTATTTCTCCATCCTCTTTTCTATTTCCTCTTCCGTAGGTGTGATTATGTCGCCGCCGCTGGCTGGGACCGGCCCTGCGAGAATAAAGCTTGCGCCCCGGAGAGCAAGAAGCGCGACTGGTAGGATAGATGGGAGCATCGTTTCGGGCTTTTTTGTTCGGACCGGGTGTTGAATCTAGTGCAAAATCAAGCTTGTTTAAGCCGAGTCGTAAAGGAGGGAGATGTGAGGTAACGTAGATAATATGAGCTGGAGTAGACGATTAGCTGTGAAGGCTGGGGTTGCTGATATCCCCTCTGACCTTACTTCCTGGACCTTTTTATCATCGAGAGAGGCCGTAAGCTTGGGCACAGTCTACGCCGCAGTCGCGTTCCGTCCGAGACCATACGATGCTGTTGGTGTTGCTGTTAGTTCGGAGTTTTCATGTCTCTCCTCCTGTTACCGGTCGGATGGGACGGTTTCATTAATAGATCAACGCGGTGCAATTGGGCCATTGCGAAGGACATGAGTAAGGGCCATGTAGTTAGGTAGCCGATCACACGGTGCTCCGTCGGCCGATCGGGGTCCGTGGTGTGTGGGCGGCACAGCACCTCCAGGCATCAACGTCGGGCGGCTACACGGCAAAAATAGAAGGCGACTACGCCGCACATGTTGGAGGTTGAAAGACGCCGCATTTCGCTTTCTTCTCTCACGGCATCAACCTGTCCGCATCACTTCTCTGACCTCGATCCTCCAACCCGCGTCCACTCCGTGCACTGCCCCCCTCCATCAAGCATCCATGGCGACTCACGACGAGGTTTTCAAGGCTTGCATTGATCAGCCTCTCGACACCATCCTCTCGCTTGCTTCAACATGCTCCAATGGCGATGAGGAGTTCGAAAAAGAGATGTGCAGGAGAGCCGTGAAACATAACCGACCCGATCTACTCGACCACCTTCTGCGCAACGCCACCGCGTCGTCCGTAGAGCGCCGCAGTCTGCTCCTATTAGACAGCGCCACCTACCGGTCGCCGCTCTGCGTCGACATCATGCTAACTTACGGCTTCGACATCAACATGTACGACGACATGATCGGCGGGGTCCTCAACCGCGCGCTAACCCACCGCGGCTGCCCCGAAAGCTTCCTCGCCTGGCTGATCGACGAGCGCGGCGCCCTCGTCAACCACCCCAAAGACTGGACCTCAAAGCCGCCCTGCCTCGTCCACGCCGTCTCGCACGGTACCATCCCCCAAATGAAGCTCCTCGTCGCCCGCGGCGCGGACGTCGACTTCTCCAACGCGCTGCACTGCGCCGTCGGGTGTGGCTACGTCGATAAGGCGCAGTACCTTGTCGAAGAAGCCGGCACCAGCGTGAATAAGCCAACCGGGGTGGCCAGGCCCAGCTTCTGGTACGGCGACGCGGGCAGCACGCCCTTGCATGTTGCGGCTGCGGGGAACGAGGTCGCGACTGCCGAGTACCTTTTGCAGAGGGGAGCGCATCTCGAGGCTAAGAACGCGAACGGGAGGACGCCGCTTCAGGAGGTCGAATACATTGAGGAGGTCGCGGCAGCTAAACCCAACCCCAGAAGCTTGCCGCATAGGCTGCGGTGGCTGGTTGGCGACCAGTATAGAAGCTATGAGGGGATGTCGACTTTGTTGAGGGAGTGGGAAACTCGGAAGGAGTAGCTGTCTTCCTGATTCGGTCGCGTGAGTTCGCTGGCTCGAGTGCGGTTTCTCTCTCTGTTTCTCTCCCTGTCTCTCTCTCTCTCTGTCTCTCTCTCTCTCTAACAGGAGTCACCGATGATCGGCGGATTGGTGATAACACAAATAGGAACTACAAGGTAGCTTAAAAAATGGGAATTACTGCTACAGCGCACTTAATTCTCAATTGATTAACAAAACGAGATTCTTGGTAACCAAGTGCAGTAGGTCTACGTGCTCACGGGCTCAGTCGAGAGGTGGAGGTTGCGACTAGACATTTCCCAGGCTAATAAAACAGATTGAAAATCATGCAAAGGTAATGACAAGGCAACTCGTTCCGCACTAAATCGAAGGGATGTCGGCCACCAATTTCGCCTAGACGAGAAAGACACAAGTACTTTTCAACACCACACAAAACAATCCGCTACCCGATCATTTTCATGCATTTAAAACAGCTAGCAATAAGTTCAGCATGGAGCGTATTATAGTGTGCACACCGTATCACAAATTATTTCCCATTCCTCAAGGTCCTCTTAGCCATGTAGTAAGAATCGGAATGACAGCAGGGCAAAGTTAGAAGACCACATCAACGACGCGCCAAAACTGCTGACCCGCATTCGTAAACCAGGCAGGCGCCAGATGCCGAGCCTTGTGCTACCACCGGTCAAAAACACTGGAATTCCATTCCAAGACAGAGTAACCAATCGAATGATTGTGAATCTCGCATGTCATCTGCACCGGGGGAGATCTCTGGATATTTTGACGAGGCTTTCGCAGAGCGACGCCTTGTCTCGGAGCTTCGGGACTTTGCAGGCTACGCTTGTCCGGAAGTGCAGGGCAATTTTGCTGCAGCACCAGTGTGCTCCAATCAAAATCGTGGCCTGGAATGCAAATCTGGTACAAACAAATCCGAACCGCAGTAACTCAAACGAAATCCTCAGCGTTGGCAATCTTGAATTTTATGCAGTTGTGTGCATTGATTGCTACAAACCTACACGGAGAACACACAATTCTGGACTCTAGGTTCATTTGACGCAAAGGGCAGGTCATGCGTACATTGAGCAGCCTGGTTTTCCAAGACATCATCACAGTTCATGGGTTCAACAATACGACAGCAATTCACCAAATGCAAAGAACGCGATGCCGGCGCGTGACTTACCTGTGGAGAGCTCTCTGTGGAGGCAACAACACAGGGGACTTGGGCAATGCTCAAAGGTTTGTTCGGTAAGATCGTGTTCAAATTTTTCGATCTTTACCCAGCCACCACGCTGAGAAAGAGGTCTGTTCGGTAAAGACTAATTTCTAATCTCTACCCAGCCACCACGCTGAAAAGGTCTGTTCGGTATGAGAAGACACACGAGGGTGCTCTCAACCCAGCCACCACGCTGAAGTCCCGCAGCCCTCCGCGATTGTGCGTTTATGCGACGAGTTGGATGACACCGCCGGCCTCCTTGATCTTGCGCTCGGCCTCGGCGCTGACGTAGCGGGCCTTGACGACGATGGGGACCTCGGGGAGACGGCCCTTGCCGAGGAGCTTGGCGTAGCCGAAGTCGAGGAGGTTGATGACGGGGGCCTTGTCCGTGGACTTGGCCTGGATGTACTCGTCGCGCTTCTCGGCGGGAACAAGGGTCCAGAGCTTGTCGAGGTTGATGACGGGCTTGAAGCTGTGGAGGGACAAGAGTCAGCGCGCGATTTTGAACGAAGTCGGGGAGCGGGAGTGCTTACAAGTGACCCTGGACCTTGTGGAAGTAGCGCATACCGACCTTACCGAAGTAACCGGGATGGTACTTGTCCATGTTGGTGCGGTGGTGGTGCTGGAAGCCATTGTCAGCGGGAGAAACGGGTGAAGCTGGCGCGGATTGAGCGTACCTGACCACCGGCAAGACCACGACCACCGGGATGCTTCCTGTGCTTGCCGACACGTCCCTTACCGGCCGAGACGTGGCCGCGGTGCTTGCGGGTGCTGGAGAGGCGGGTAGGCATTGTTGCGGTTGCGGGGTGGTTGTCGCCGTTGTCGAAGGAAGCGCAAGCCAGAGTGCGGAATCGAAAATTTACATGTTTGTGGGCGCGCCGCTTAGTCAGGTGAGCAAGCGCGGTTTAGCCGAGCTTCGTCCGCCTCGCCGCCTCGCCGCCTTTGAAGCGCGCGCCGCTGCCTCCAAAGTCCGTGCGCCCGCCCGACAGCTCTCGTTTCTGACTCGCGTGTCGCTCACCTCAAACACAAGATTTTCTCCGCCTCCGATACAGATGGTCGGGTCTCTTCTCACTCACTGCCAATTTACTCGACCCTTTCAGCTTGAACGTCATCGTCTTTTCACACCGGGCGACAGCCAAGGGTAGCAGCAACACGTGCAAGTTATTTTGGGCATTGTCGCCCTCTGCGCAGCTCTGTGGATTGCACTCGCGCCACCGGTGCGCATCTTGTCCCTCAACCTGGGGACCGTTGCGCCGAAGACAATTCCTACAAATCATGCCGACGTAGCTGTGGGATCAACGGAAAGCCTGTCTACCGACCCAATTCACTATCCACACTATCCTTATCCACGAAGAAAACATAGCCCATGCACATTTCACATTTCGACTCTTGTGAGCTTTCGCCCTTGCAATAATGCCAACTGCATAAAAAAAAACCTACAGTCCGCCACGCCATACCCAAACACCAACCCACCCACCACACGATATCTACCTCGCCACACCGTGCTGGCACGCCCATCCGACCCTCGACAGCGCCAAACGATGCTCCAGCGACCGCGTCCAACCTGATCAAAAATATACAGCCCCTTCCCAACACCACCTCCTCCTCCGCCCCACCCCACGACCGCAAAAGCACCAAAGGAAAAGACCTTGCCAACAGGTGGCCACGTCTTTCAAATAGGTGGCCGCGCCGTCCACCCGCAAACCCGTCACATGATGCCCTCTTCAAGGGCAAAAAAAATAATTCTCTCCGACGGGGAATCTGTTGATTATTAGTAATTGTTTAGGGATCAGAATCGAACATGGAATCTCACCGAACCCCGGTCTCCCGCGCTTGCTAGAACATACTGTTTTGACAAGCGGAAATCATCACCACTAGACCATCGAAGATGACTAACCCCTTGGAGGAGCTGATGGAGGTGTTGTTGGGAAAAGGGTGGCGAACAGGCGTTATGGCATCCAGACCCAAGCCGGGGCGGTAGAGGGGAACGAGAAGGCAGGGTGGAAGAGGGCTTTGGTGTGGTATCTTGGGATAAGAGGGTGATTGGTTAGTGGCGCGACGCGGTCGTGTTGCAGCGTCGAGCGCCTATGCGAGCCGCCGGAAGCTCTTACAGTTGCATATTGCTCGTCCACAGCACATGCACCATGCACTCCGGCTACCCAATTACTCTCCAATTTCTTTCCCGCCCCTCTTCAACAAAGAATAATAAAAAAAAGGTGAACGTCCAGCCCTTGGGCGCATCGACTCGTGTTCTGGGCCACTGGCGAGATTTCGGTTCAGAGCTGGTGGCGTTGCGCCCGACCCACACACAAAATCAATCCTCAACATCAACCCCCACTGGCAAAAATGAACAACCTCCCAGGGCATGTACACCACGAGCAAAAGAGATGTGCCGGCCGGGAACTGAACCACCAACGCTGTATTGCATCTACAAATCTGCCGTGGCAAATACATCTTATATCAAATCATCCGAAGCGGGGAACGGTGCATGCGAAGAGGAGCAGGGGATCGGATATAGATAGTAAGATGACTCTTTAGAGAAAACGCCGAAACTCCGTGGGGAAGTATCACGATCAACGAGGTCAAGGCTTAGGTGCTTATCGGTCATGGTCAGCCACGGGGGGCTAGCTAAGTGCTTCGGACGCTCAGGGCGAATCAAAAAGTCCAAGACTGCCCGGAAAGGTGCCGTATAATGGACAATGGGATGAAGCAAATGGAAGGACTACACGAGGTGCTTGTTGCAAAGATTCAAAGGAAAAGAGCTAATGCAGCTGAGCTTCCCTTAGTACTTAAATACTGGTACCTTGTCTATTCCGTCTCTCCGCTCCGGGCATGTTCCGCTCCTCAGCGTCGGCAGTTTGAGCCATTACCAACACCTTTTCAAGGAGCTACAAAAAGTCGGGTTTGATGGAAACAATGGTTGGACTCGATGCAATCTACTGTCTTATTATGCGCGGTGTTGCATTCATCGAAGAGGCCAAGGTACTGAGTTTCCCGGCCGCCAAGAAATGATGGACTGATGGGAATTTACTCAGGGAACACCATAAATCTTGTCGAATGGCCCGCGGATAGCTTAAAAACACTTTATTTGGGACAGTTGAGCTATTGATGCCCCACAAGTAAGACAACGGGCGGCGAATCCGAAAATTTTGCGGTGGACGCTTTTTGTCGTGAGTGTTGTTGAAAAACTGTAACAAAAGTGACACCAAAAAATATAGCAGCACCATCTCGCTGCCAATTCTTCTATAGCTTCCTCGATTTTATTATTTACTCCTTTGAAGCCAGCTTTCATGCTTAAAAAAGCAAATCCTTATGTTTCGCGTTCACTGAAGCGCCACAATGGCCAAGTTTTTTTTTTTTTTTGAAACTGTTCGAGCACGCGGATGGGTATCCGGACGGGAGCTTCGCCTCCTTCTACGTGGCAGCCTATGAGAATGACCCTTGCAGTATTGCAGGTTTCGTGAGAAAGAATCAGGGGTCGCACACCACCATGAACTGATGCATCGCCCAGGCGCCAGGCTCTGGGAATCTTGGTTGTTCTCCAAATAAGAGGTAGCACGATATCGTAACTATGAAGAAACGAGATCATACCATTCTGAGATTACGTAGTATCAATTGAAAGAGGTGCACATAAAGGACCGTTGCGACGAAAGGAAGCGAAATCTGTGCTGGTTTTCCAAGCATTGACCGAAGCAGTACCTGGTGACATCTTACTACCGGACACCGCAGCATCAAGTCGCCCCCCCGCCCGGCCGCCATGCGCCGCGTCGAACCTGCTCCACGAATTGCAGATACACTTTGTCACTCACTGTATGCACCATGGCTAGCACGACTATTGCATCAAACCTGCCCGTCACTTTGATATCGGTCCCGCACGCCCGCTCCGTAGCCCCGCCCCGCTACCACTCTTTCGCAGTCGCTGAGGGGCTCTTGTCTCTGCTGTTGATATTCTGACTTTCTCGAGACCGGGTCATTGGTACAGGCGCCGCTGTAGTGTTGCTCTCTGGAGGTGCGGGTGTCAGTTCGAGGAGGCAAGGTGTCGGGCGCTGGTGTAGAAAACAATGGGTCTCCTACTTGATGTAGTCTCAGATATGATGGTCACGTATTGCAGTCACTAGCGTTCACTCTACATGTCCTCAAGATTGAAAGTGAATGCCAACGCTGCTACGAACTGGCGGTTGCTGGCCGATCTGAGTCCATAGTGAACACCTGCGCAATGCCCAGAGGTCGCCCCTTCCACATCGGTCCGCTGCCCTGTTGCCTGGCACCCGGTTGCCCCACCAGCCCAGGCGGACTCCACGTGCCACCGGATCAACCGCACCCGTCGAAAAAATTATATAAACCCCCGCACCCCCCTCAAGCTCCTCTTCTTTTCTTCTTCGCTCTCTTTGCCATTTGGCTTAGATCCGAGACAGTGGAGTCTCTGTTCTGGGTAACACCGGAGCAACCGCCTACGGGCGGAATCTTGTGTTATCTTATTTTTGGAAATGGGGGAGTGGCCGGCTGGGGCGTCGCAGCACCCATGTCACTTCCCACTGTGTCGCCTGTATTGCACTGTCTCGGGCTGATGCGAACTCTTTTCGTCTTTTGTACTGGCCTTGAGCCGGTCTTTGAGGAAGAGGATTCAATTAAGAGGATGCGGACGAGCTCCGCCAGTTCCTTCTGCGCCGGTGACGCTGCTATCTGCGACTCACATGCCGCTCGTATGCCAGCTCGCCTTGCGCCGGCGCCTTGCTTGCCTTGCTTCTGGTTGGCTGAGAAATGAAACGTGCCTGTTACGGCCGTCGCGCGCTTCGCTTTGTGTTGATGGCGCGCTGCCTGTCTTCCGTGGTTTCGGTCTGCTCTCGCTCCATCATGCGGGTGGCGGCGGCGCACTGGGATGGATGGATGCCATGCGACTACCAGCAGCCAGGGACCTCATGCTGGTCCAATTTCTTAAGGGTGAGCTCTGAGTGCGGAAGCTGCATTTCCATCACCGGATGGGCTGAGGCGCAAATTGATGCCAGACGGCGCGACCGTGTCAGCCCACGACGCTTGAACGGCAATACTGGCTGTCTACATGTAGATGTCATCGGCTTGTTCTTTACCGGCTAAGAGGGGGATTTGAGGAGACGCAAGCCATGTGGGCGGGCTTATATCCTTATCTCTATGGTGGGATGCACGCCAGTATGAACTGCACAAAGCCCATCCGAAGCTATGTAGGTAGCTTTACTTCACGATATGTCACGTATGCGCACAGCAAAACAGCAGCAAGACAGGCAATGGAACTGCGCGTGGAGTGGAGGGAATTTCAGGCTTTCAGCGCGGTCTGCGCTTGAGTGAGGGTGCCGCCCTCCAGCACCAGCCCGCGCAAGCGTATCCTGTAGCTCGCTGCCACCTTCCTGAAGCAGCCGCCCCGCCGTTCCTCTACCCTGCCGGCTCAACCACCTACCTACGGCTCATTCAGCTGCGGAGAGACTCTATGCGCGCAAGCATCTCAAATCCCGCTGCCATCACTGTCACATCACACAACCGCTCCCGTCACCGTTTCAGCTCCTCGTCGAAGCTGGTCACCGCCGCGCCAACCTGAGTGATGCCACCACCAAACAGAGCCTCGGACTCGACAGCCAGGACGCCACGCTCTGGGAAACATCCCACTTCCCAAGTCCCAGAGCCTCTCGTCACGCTCAAGACAGATCCGTTGTGCGTCCAACCTCCAGGCTGCCAGCGCTTCACACATCATGCGAGCAAGTTCAGCCCGTTCGTCTCGCCCAACGCTCCGAGTGGCAACTGATGAGTGCGCCGCGCTACATCCAGTCCAAGCACTGATGAAACAGGCCCTAGGGATTTGTGTCCGCATACGGCTCCTCCCTTCACAGCTGTCACTTGCACACAGACAGCTCCATCAGCCAGTCTATCCCGCCGCCGACCTCATCGCTCCAGCACTCTCCACATAGCTACCATTCCGAACACGCTCTTCAGTGAAATGCCAGCAACAGACTATCCGAAATGCAACTCTCTCGGACACAAAAAAGATATGAGAAGCGCGCGCCGTGTCCTGGTCCGCTGAGGAACAAGGGCGCCTGGCTCATCGTCAGCCAGGACGGACCCAACGCATGGGATGACCGCACCTGGAGAACCGGACAGCTCGGAATGCGCTGTGAGTCTGGCAAGCGTAGTTGCCCCACCCAGTGGCGCTACAGCATGCCCCTTCCACAGCGGGCGCGATATTCATGCTGTGAATTCAGGACGGATAACCAGGCCTCCGCTAGTGCCGCTGAGAGAGCTATATGTTTCAAGAGGACTGGTTCAAACGAATAGTCCCTGGTCGTTGAGGCAGATGATTCTTTGCTTCAAGCTCGACCCGCGGCAGCTCGGCGGAGGAAAGAGAGACAAGACTGCCTGTTTGTGAGTAGGTCGAAGCGGACGGAGTAGGCGTGATGATTGACAGCGGTTGGTCATGGATGGTAGAGGGAAGCGGCGGCCATTAACTCGTCATTATGGTGCCCAAATTTCTCGCTGAAAGAGCAGTTTTACGATACCAGCTACGCAGCGGCGGCCTGTACAAATCATCACTGAGATTCGTACCCCACCTGCGCCAAACCCTCGCCGCACTCAGAGTCCTTACATACATACACGCACAAGGGTGGTAGGGTTCTATCACTTCGCAATACATGATGCCCACACAATTCTGTCCTTCGGCCGTCCATTTGTCCGCGCAGACACGCGTCGCTGCAGCCTGACACGAGAAAAGCGGCGTCAAAGGCGCTATAAGGAACGTCCGATACCCTCCCATCATCGATTCGGGCTTGATCCGCAGCTACCCACGGAAGATGTCTCGCTAGCGCCTAGAAGCTGTCTGTTCTCGATCTAAGCCCAAAGGTTGATGTTCTGACAAAGGAGGATCGAGATGGCCGGTATAAAAGCATATGAGTCGATAGAAGGTTCCTCTCTGAAGTGTGCTGCGGTGATGTGCTGAAACTGCGATGGGGTTCAGAGTGTGATTGGAACAGACACGAAGGTGTCTCCATTCATGCGTATAGTGCTGTCTGGCACTTACATAGGGAGCGAATGCTTGGTCCGCAACCGTTCCAGCCATCTAGAATATGCGATGATCCATGCGATAGCGGTAGCTTGTCAGCGGAAACGTTGCGACAGTGCGGTACTTAGGATGGCGCATATACGCTGAGGAGCGGAAAAGCCGCTATCCCCAGCATACTTCGAGACTGTTTCAACATCTCGATAACATGCGAAGATGGGCACCATCAGGTAGGGAGTGTACGGGGTAGCTTTCGTTTCTACACGACGCCGGTATCAGCCTTCCTGGGAAAAGTATGATAGAAAACGAGTCCTGTAAGGCGGTTCGACTATCATATACAGCACCTTCATCTCATAGCTCGAACGTCAGCAGAGGGATACGAACACCAGGTATGCTTCGCATCTCAGGAACAGACCGGTCGTTAAAACATCCACCGCTCTTAAGCGCGGCAACACAAGCCTACATTCCAAGTATATACAGACCAAAAAAACGCAGCTTCTCCCCAACCCCAAAACAAAAACCAGGCCCCAAAACACCGCAGACACGGAACCCGAACAAACAACCTCGACAAGAATGCGCCCCTCACTGCTGCGAAGGCACACACTTGAACGAGCTCCCCTGATCATTCAGCCCCGAACCCCTCCCCAGATCCAAGATGCCCGGCGCGCGGAACTGCGCATACCGCCCGTTGCAATTCTTGTCGGCGTGCAGCCAGCACAGCCAGCCGGGGTTGACGTAGATGCTGCTGACGCGGTCGTTCCAGTAGGACTCGAAGTTGTAGCACGACCACTGCTGGATGTCTTGGTTCTTGCACGCGCCGCCGCCGTTGGCGTGCTGGCAGTAGCGGATCTTCGGCGGGAGCGGGGCCCAGCCGCGGGCGGAGATGTCGGCGGCGGCGGCGGCGGCCGAGGGCGCGACGGGCGAGTCCGTGCCGAGGTCGGGGACCGGGTAGGCGGGGCCGAACTCGGATGGGGTGTCCGGGGAGGTGGGGGTGTCGCCGAGGGACTGGGGAGCCGCGAGGGTGAGGGCGGCGGCGTTGAGGGTGAGGAAGATGGCGGTGGTGAGCTTCATGGTTGGGTGTGGTGCGTAAGGAATGTATGTAGGTGAGTTGGGTTTTGACTACTGATTTGGTGAGTACCGATGAAACGAGCGGGGAGAGAGTGGTCCATATACGCGTCTCAGACAAAGAAAGGCAATGCCGCCCCTTCGAAGATGGCTCATGAAGGGGACGGTCTCGGCAATCGGTGTTGATATTGTTCTTGGCTTACTATTGTTCGCCACTGATATTGTTCTTTCCCCCTCAAGACGTTGCTTTTAAATTGCATGATTGGAAGCAGGGGTAGAGCGGCCTAGCCTTTCGAGGTTTGATTCGATCGTTGAAGCTGCCAAACTCCTATCGTCCATTGATTGGTGGAACCTACATGGTGAAATTTGCTGTTGTACATACGTTCATTAGCCGCATAAGTTTTGGGTTCAGTTTACAATCACAGAAGAGGAGATCGTCTCCCTTTGGATCCCTGTAGTTTCACAAAGAGCTGCGAGAAGTTCCTCCGATGTTCCTTTGAACAGAGCAGTGATGAATCACCCTGGTGGCGTCCGAAACCCCACCACGCGTGCATGGAGACGACCTCAATGAACGCGAAGTTGGACGCGTTGACCGCGAGATTCTCGTGGAAGGAGGACATGTGGAAGGTAGGGAGGGCGCAAGCTACTAGCGGTCCAGCGCTATGCATTTTGTAATGAAAACAATGTCGGCTTCGGTGAGACTTGCAGATTGAGTGCCTTAAGCCGTAGTAGACTCAATAGTCAGTTGTGAGGAGACAATGTGGTGCTGAGAGATGAACGTCCAGTAAGGGTTCGTGAGTCAGCCTTGGGCAAGGCATCTTCCTGGACTGTGAACCTTGTGTCAGTGGCGGCAATCATCTAAGTTTGACAGGGGCAGAAACACATAGATCATGAGGGCCACCTGATGCCATCTTTCTTAGCGGTCTTGAACATCTTCCAGTATTGCGGGACGCAATGTGCAGCGTGCTCAAAGGCAGTGCAAAGACTGGCTGAAAGATGGGTCCTCATGACCGAAGGAGGATGAGAATCTTGGTGCTGATGTGCAATGGTGCGCCGATGATGATGAAGGCTGCAAAGACGACACTGGCGTGGCTCAAGAAGTAGCAGTAGGGTCCGAAGAGCATGATGACGCGAAGCAGGGGCTTGAGCTAAATCAATACCTTACGCGGAGCCGGTAAGCCTGATTCTCCACTTACCATACATCCTCCAAACCAGATTATTCCACATGCGACTTCCAGTGTCCATCTATGCAAGGCATTGAGCCCTCCAGAGCACTGAGTACCGTGAGGCATGACATCCAACAGAGACGCGAACTGCCAGGTCTCACGTACCTCGTCGAGCTCCAACGTGGCTCATTTTTATCTTCCCCCCGCCTAAATCCGGCTCTGCACATTCTCATCCACCGCCATCCGCCGGTGCTGACAAGCGCCTTTGTGGTGTATAGCCGCGACGCTGACTTTTCTGGTCTTGAGGGAACTTGATGGGAGCCTCGTCCCACATGGAGAGAGCGATTCGGTCATAGAACTGAACGAAACTGGTCGGGCCTTCAGACAGTGGTATTGTTATATTGTATGATAGCGGCGGAGGTGTTGTAACTGCGAGTACTTCGAGAGGGCTAATGACGGGACGTTGGAGGCTTCGTTTGCGAGAGAAATACAGTAGATACACTAAAGGCTTCGTGGTCAGTGACATCTGCGCTGGAAGAAAGGGACGAGCCTATTGCGCAACTTGGAATCTTTTCGACTAGGTGAACACCCTGTCTTGGCCGGTATTGAGGCTGTTCAAGTTGCTGGCGATGCGAACGAGGGCGGTAAAGCTGCTACCGAGTCTTCTCAAGCTTTGAAGATGATGTAGAACTTAATTTATGAGCTCGTTGAAGGCCGGTCGGCCTAGGCATCGTGATAATCATACTGCTATCCAGAGTTAACAGAGTCAAGAAAGAAGCGCATGGTTCGACTGTAACAACTACCTCGTACGGCGAGAAATCTTTGCACACGGTACCAGATGTCGAGGTGCCTCTAGAGGCGTCTTGATACCTCCACTGGTCGTCAGCTGGTCCGCCTACTGAGATAGAGCTGCCTTGAGATGGCTGACACAGCTGAAGGTACCGCGAATAAAGTTATATGCCGGGTGTGGTGCGCACGACACAGTCCCAGTCGCTGACGGTGGTGCCTATAGTGTTTGTCTGACCGCGAGGTATGCTAAAATTAGTAGTGCCCAGGCGTTGAAGGCCAGCGGCGGGAGGGTCGTCAAGACCGGGTGGTGGAGAGGAAGGTTGAATGGCCAGCACGGCGCGTGGCGTGTCTCGGTCTCAGAGTTCTTGGGCGTGCGGCTGGAACTTCTAGCGATCATCCTCGCGGGCAACTGGCGGTCATTGTTCAAGCTGAGAGGAGGGGTTCCACGTCGCTGTGCCACTGGTAGTACCGTAGCGGACCACCACTCGTCGCTATATTGACCAGATCCGCTGCTGCCAAGCTGATCTCGTCCATTCGGCAGTTTGCGCGCACATTTTGGGAGGCGACAGCGGCTCTGCACAGCAGCAGTTCCACCTCGTGCCACTTGATTGGATTCTGCCGTCGGAAGACGCCCTCGTCTGCTCCCTCCTCTACTTGCTCTCCTTATTCCTTGCCTCGCCCTTCTTTCTCATCGCATCCAGTCTATCCTCAATCTATCCTCCTCCATCCACCGTCGCGGTGTGGGTGAGGAGCTCAGAGAGGGCCAGTGAACGGGCTTGCGTGCGGGTGAGGTGTTGCGCTGGGGTAGCTGGGGAGGAGGCACCGCACTTTACTGGAGTTTCTTTGCAATTGTCAGCCCTCGTCTATGCCTGCAGTAGCGGGTGGAGATGTTGCGTATCAAGACCGGGTCCTGCTCAGAAGAGGCAACAGCGCGCGCGGTTGTCGCTGAAAGGGTTCCTGCCTCGCCATCCAAGGCCTCGCCTCCAGCACCAGACCAATTTCCCGTCACCGGGCGCGTCCCCGTGACTAATACCGCTCCGAAAACGCGCCTGCCATCTTTAGCTGCCTGCGGTGCTTCCCTCCCAGCCTGATCTATTTCAACCAGCTCCTTGCCTCCTCACTTCTTCTCATCCAGACCTACACAACACCCCGAGCTCTTACTTCCGCCGCCTCAACAACATCTGCTGCTCACTGCATAGTTTCACAAAGCCACTTCCGGTATGTGTCTTCCCCTTTCATACTCTCTGTTTGCGTGACAGCGCTGCGCAGAGTCACGGCGTGGAGATGATTAGGCTGACGCATCTGACAGCAGTGACGGCGGCAGCAAGCCCTGCACAACCACACACTCTGGCGCGCCCACAAAGCTTGCGTGCCGGATCCTTGAATCACCTCACTTCGACACAGCTGGTAAGCAGCTTGAACAGCAGACAACCTTCGTGAACATCGCTGACTTTTGGTAGACGCTTCTGCGAGCGGTCGCACACTCGGCTTATACCAGCGCAAACCGTCCCTTGCCGGGCCGGCCGGCGAGTCCGCTTCAGCCTCCATTTCGAAATCCACCTCCATCATGAGCCAATCCCTCGTTTACACCTGTCAGAGAGGAGAAGCTCGACGCGGTTGGCGAAGAAGCGCAAACACGAGTGGTCCGCTGGAGCCTCGGCCTTGGACAAGAACAAGAAGAAAAAGAAGGAGAAGAATTTGCTTCGAGTCCATCTTGATCATTGTCATTGTCGTTAAGCCTCGACTTCTTCAGTCGAGTGCGAGAATGGCGCGGTCCGCCTTCAAGGAAACCACATGGATGACCGTGGCTTTCTGGAGTCGTCTCACGAACCTCCACATTGACCTCCACAACCCTCTACCGTACTACAACAAGTCGAACCAAAAGGACTTCATCAAGGCGCTTCATGATCGCCTCGGAAGCTTCTTTGCAGCAATGCCAGAGCGAGCGTCGCAAGGCTCGTACCAACTGGGCCTCCCCGACTCGCTACGATACAAGGAATGGCGCCCTGCAGATGGTGCTACTATTATGGAGAGGCAGGATCGTCCTCCCGAGCCTACTGTTGAGCTCACTGCCGAGTACAGTGCCAAGATGGGCCCTCGGGAGTTTCTCTCCAGCCACAATCGTCGTTCATGGTGGATGAGGGCAGTTCCGTCCCTTCGGACTGCCCTTGGGAGAAATCTCTCCAGCCATGGACGTCGATTGTGGTGGATGAGGGCCCGTCTTGCACTTTCGCTGGCGTGATGCCGCGTTCTGCGTTCTTCGGACTTTTGGGGGAAACCTCAAGGCCGCCGTTCCTGTTCTCTCGGATCATACTCGCCTGTACTGCCGCTGCGACCCGGCCCAGGCCCAGGCCCGCACCGTGGCTTGCGCGGTCCTCCGCAATGGAGGACGACAACAGGTCTTTCTTTCCTCGCTTGCTACATGCCACTGCGGTGGCGTACCCAGCTGGATGAGACGGTGGGAGAGAACCGGACCACCGGGAGGATGGAACCCGGTGGTGAGGCCGTCAAATCCCGAATTCTACTGCTCCAATCCCGGGCATCATGGCCGTTCCGCCAGACCGGTGCTGGTGCCCAGTGGGCCAAGTTGACGACAAGCATCATCATCATGAATAGATGCGGAGGGCTCTCCCTGCCCAGCAATCCCGCGGGCAACAACGGAAAGGGCCGGGAACCCCGAAGGCCTACACTTCCCAAGGGGGAGGTTAGGGCCTCCCGGCACAGCCGCGCGCCTTCGTCGCCGTCGACCTCAATCGGGTGGCAACGAAGAAGAGGTTAGGTCTTGCGCCCAAGGAGAAGGAGACGGGTCCCAGCGCCATCCAGCCCCCCGCCTCACGTCAGGGGCGGGACACAGGTCGGGGGCCGCAGCATCATCAGCTTGCCCCCCGGTGTCCTGCCTCGTGCAGTGGGCTCTTGAGATGGAAGAGTCCATGGCTGGCCGGATTACCATCTCTTTCCAAACACCTGGGGTTGCTCCCTCCCGCCTCTAGCTGGGTCCCACCTACCGGCTTGTTGTGCCGGAAAAAAGAGCGCTCTGGGGGAACTGGGGCT